TCTCCTCTTCTCAAGAGAGAATAAATTCAGTTCCTCTAATCTTTCCTCATAGCTGAGCTCCTCCATGCCTCTTATCAGTTTGGTTGCCCTTCTCTGTACTTTCTCCACTTCCCCAATGTTTTTTTTGTTAATTGGTGCCCAAAACTGAACTACATATTCCAGATGAGGTCTTACTAATGATTTGTACCGGGGTGATATGATATCTCTCTCTCTGGAGTCTATACCTCTTTTAATATAAGAGAGGATTTTGCTCGCTTTTGAAACCGTAGCTTGGCATTGCATGCCATTATTAAGCTTGTGATCTACCAGAACCCCCAGATCCTTCTCCACCATTGATTCCCCCAGTTGTCAGCAGAACAGTAGAGGGGAAATCTTCCAATGGGGACCGTAGTTCTGGTGATCCTGGTAACAACCAGGGATTCCCTCATTTTGGAGGAATTTCCTCTTACCTCTTGTTTAGCTATAAGACAGGAAGTGAATAGAAATTTTTCTAATGGGACACAGCCAAAAATTGATGGGTTTTAACCCTTGCTTACTCTATGCAAAAATTTAAAGTAGTTCTACTTTAATATAGATAAGCATATACACTCACCGGCCACTTTATTAGGTACACCTTACTTGTGCCAAAAAAATATCCCTCACACCATTACACCTCCACCACCAGCCTGAACCGTCTATACTTTTATGTTGTTTACACCAAATTCTGACCCTACCATCTGAATGTCGCAGCAACCAGTCTGCCCATTCTCCTCTGACCTCTGACATCAGCAAGGCATTTTCATCCACACAACTGCCGCTCACTGGATATTTTATCTGTTTCGGACCATTCTCTGTAAACCTTAGAGATTGTTGTGTGTGAAAATCCCAGTAGACTAGCAGTTAGTGAAATACTCAGACCAGCCGTTTGGCACCAATAACCATGCCACGTTCAAAGTCACTTAAATCTCCTTTCTTCCCCATTCTGATGCTCGGCTTGAACTTCAGCAAGTCGTTTTCACTACATCTAGATGCCTAAATGCATTGAGTTGCTGCCATGTGATTTGGCTAATTACCCATTTGTGTTACCAAGCAATAGAACAAGTGTACCTAATAAAGTGGTCGGTGAGTGTACAAATTGTGTTCATTATTGTGTTTTTGAAATAACTTTGTTGTCCGACATTATATTGTAATTGTTGGTGTCACGATTCTTCTGGTATATTAGGATTCGGGAACCATTAATGAATGTGAACATCTTAGGGAACTGTGTACTAAAATTGTTGCTTAGTACAACCGTGTATTCCTGTCCATAGACAGGATTTTAGGGGTCTATTTAACCATTAGCCGCCCGGCCAATGGCCGTTTGGCGGCTTGAAAAGCGCTGCAGCTTTCCGGGTGCACGCCATTTGGCGTGCTCCCGCACATGCGCGGTTTGCGCGGTTGCAGAGCGACGCAGCAGTGCAATCTGTCACCACCCGTGCACCTCGGACACGGCCGATGACAGATCCGAGTACCGGCTCCCGTTGCCAGTACCATGTGACCTGCTGTGACCAATCACAGCAGGTCACATGACAGTTGTATACAATGGATGGCTTCATTCATGATGCCATCCATTGTATACTAGTGCCTAGCTGTGAATGGTCACAGCTAATCACATGCACATGTCATGTGATTAGCTGTGACCAAATCACAGCTAAGCACAAAAAAAAAAACAGAAAAAAACTGAATGAATCGATTTCATTCAGGTAAATGCTTGCTTATAGCAAAGTAATTCTTTGCTATAAGCAAATTGTGTAAAAAAAAAAAAAAAAAAAAAAAAATACTGATCACTTCCCCAAAGTAGTACAGTGTTACTATGGGAACATTGTACTATTTTGGTCATAGTAAAATATGAAAAAAAAATAAAAAAACATGTAATAAAAAATTAAATATAATAAAAAAATTAAAAAAAAAATTAAAAAAATATATATATATTTTTTTTTTCATACTGTCACCAGTCAGTGTCACTGTTCACCGCCATGCCAGTTATATGATGACGCTGTACTGCACTGGTGACAGTATGTAAAAAAAAAATAGTGAAAATAATTTTTTTAATTTTTTCATTTTCCGAAAAATTATGACAAAAAAATACAACTTCAAAAAACTCGCCATGCCTCTTATGAAGTACGTCGGACTGTCTACTCTGCAAAAAGGGGTCATTTGGGGATATCTGTACTGTTCTGACATTCTTGGACCTCAAGATATTAGATTGGCTGTCAGTACTTCAGGATTGATCAATATTCAGATCTATACCATAGTTTGTGAACTCTATAACTTTCCTACAAACTAAAAAATACATCCTAATTTGGGTTATTTTCACCAAAGACATGTAGCAGAATACATCTCGGCCTAAATTTATGAAGAACAATTATTTTTATTTGTAAACTTTTATAACAGAAACAAAGAAAAATGTGTTTTTTTTTCAAAATTTTTGGTCTTTTTTTGTTAATTTAGCAAAAAATAAAAACCCCAGGGGTGATTAAATACCACCAAAAGAAAGCTCTAGTTGTGTGAAGAAAATGATCAAATTTTAGTTTGGGTACAATGTTGTATGACCGCGCAATTGTCATTCAAAGTGTGAGAGCGCTGAAACCTGAAAACTGGCCTGGGCAGGAAGGTGTAAAATTGCACGGTATTGAAACGGTTAAAAAGGATTTGCATAAGGATGGCTCATTAGACATTCGTCCGTCTGTTTTGCTCAGCATTCAGATATCATTTTCAAAGAGGATTCGCCCTATACACTTACCATTTTCAAAGATGACCCTACCATCAGCATACAACAAAATTGAGGAATTCTCTTTCCAGGACTCAAAATTAAAATCAATCAGGATTCACCATGAGCGGTTACATTAGACATATATAGAATCCACTTAAAATGATTGATTGCTGTGAGCTGGAAAATACAATATCCAGTAAACATCCACTGTGTGAATCCTATGGTGAATCCTCTATAAATGGGCCCTTTATGTTTTATACCTGTGAATCTAGAGCGGTGCTTAGTTTGTAAGAGTAGTCATTCCAAATTGTTTTGTAATATTAATTTTACTAAATGTTAGATGGATACAGGACTGATCTGAATCACTTGTTTCTTAAAGTAAAGTTGTATTCAAAAGTTTGCATACCCTGGCAGAAATCGTGAAAGTTTGGCATTTTATATTGAAAATATGACAGATCATTCCAAAAAACTGTCTTTTACTTAAGGATAGTGATCATATGAAGCCAATTTTTTTTTTTCATATACTGTAATTGTTTGGCTCCTTTGTAAATCCTAACAGAAATCACCCAAATGGTCCTGATCATAAGTTTCCCTCCCCTGGAATGCTTGGCCTTGGTACAGACTCGCAAGGTGACACACACAGGTTAAAATGACAATTTAAAGATTCATTCATTTTCCACATCTGTGACTTTTTAAATTGCTATTAGTGTCTGTGTATATATAGTCAGTGAGCTTGTTTGCTTTCATGTGGATGTACTTAGCAGGCTAGATATTGAGCCATGGGGAGCAGAATAGACCTGTCAAAAGACCTGCATAACAAGGTAATGGGACTTTATAAAGATGGAAAGGATATAAAAAGTTTTCCAAAGCCTTTAATATGGCAGTCAGCACTTTTCAATCACTTATTAAGAAGTGGAAAGTTCTGGAACCTCTTGATACCAAGCCAAGGTCAGATAGACCAAGAAAGATTGCAGCCACAACTGTGAGAAAAATTGTTTGGGATACAAAGAAACACCCACAGGCAACCTCAAGAGAAATATTATTATTATACAGAATTTATATAGCGCCAACAGTTGGTGCAGCGCTTTACAAAATTAAGGTAGACATAACCAGGGGCGGACTGACCATTTGGAAACTCGGGCACTGCCCGAGGGCCCGGGGTCAGTAGGGGGCCCCCCCCATGAGATGCCCCTGGTACCTTTTTCATAAGCTTTTTTGAGTTTGGGCAAGGACACAGGGGCCCCATGATCCCCTATTGCCCGGGGGCCTCATGAGTTGTCAGTCCGCCCCTGGACATAACAGTTACAATACAATTTGGTACAAGAGGAAACAGAGCGGGCACCGGATCGCGGTGCTGCACGCTCTCAGAGAGCGCACACATGCAGGGGGCAGGGAGGCCCTTTCAAAACGGTCACCCGCCCCTGCACTGCCACCATCCGGCCTTTTATGTACAACAGCCGGACGGGAAGTGGTTAAAGAGAGAGGTTTTCAGGGATCGTCTAAAGGTGGATAGATTAGGAGACTGCCGGACAGATTGAGGTAGGGAGTTCCATAGACTCAAATACAGGCTGTTCTGGAAAAAGAGTGTGTTTTTTTTTTTTTTTTTAAGGAGCACAATACGACAATACTTAAACAAAAATGAGCTGCACAGTCGAGTTGCCAGAAAGAAGCCTTTACTGCACCAATGCCACAATAAAGCCTGGTTACAATATGCCCGACAGCACCTTGACATGCCTCACCAGGCAGAAGGCTTATCAATGGAGGAGAGAAGAGCACACTGAGTTCCCAGCACAGCTAGAGAACTGACCATGCTTTGCTCTCCTACCTATTGTGGTCAGTTTTTATTAGGAAAGCAGAGGGACTGGCAGGGATTTCCCACAAAGGAAGCAATACAAAGCGAACAGGATATTTTTTTTCATACAAGTACATGGTACAGCGGGCACATATCAGGAATAGTAAATGTTGGGTTTACATATTCTTTAAGGTTACCAGTGTTTAAATCTATCATGGCACAGTCCAGGTGAAGAATAAAAATACATCATGGAACACTACATCATTCCATATTTTGCTTACATTGGGGGGTGCTTTTTTTTTTTTTTTAATCTCTCTCTAAACATGGAAGTGTTTATTACAGGTTTAAGGCACTCACACTGCATCAGTGGTGTAAAATGGTGGTGAGGAGGGATTGTGACCCAATCACAGGAGCAAACAGAGCTGATCATTTGTGTGCTCTGCATGTTAGAGATGTTATAGAGGAGAGAATTGGGGATTAGGATGGCACTGCTGAGCTGTGCTGCACAGACCCCATCTGCAGGAGAGAGGGGCTGTCCATACAGGTGAACAGCAGACTGCTGATCGGTGGGACACAGTCACCTGCAGCAGATGGGGAGGGGGGGGGGGGTCACATGATCACGCTGCCTGTGCACTGTGCCTGCTATATAATCTGCAGCAATAAGCAGAGTGTGCAAACTCTGGTCCAGCCTGGGGCTCAGGCTCTCTGCATCCTTCTGATCATCACCTTCTTCTGGGCTGACGGATTCTCTGCACATCCAGGATGGGTCCTGTGAAATGTTTATTGCTGGCAGCTGTCTGCATTCAAGGTAAGAACCTCAGCCGCAGAGAAGGTTCACCGCTATGCTTTATTAGAGGACATTATTCCATCAAAATATGAATTCATGGTAGGAATATTTGCTTCTTCACTGATAATGCATGCATAGTCCTTTCAAGCCAATCCCAATTCTCACTGGTGATTAGGGATGTGCTTGTCTGTCTGTATATGTCATCACATGCATGATGGATCCCTTGTGTTCAGATATCTTTGAGGATAATTTGTTCTTCACCAAAAAAAAATAAAAAATTAAACCAGATACCCGCTGCTTGACTTCTGATGTGCAGCTATATGTGCCGCCATGCCTCTTTATCCAAGGACATTGTTTCTTTAAGGATCATGCCAACATGGCACTCCTGCAGGTGGCCAAATTGGATGTTTGGCACTTGTCATTGACGTCTTTTGGCTACATCTGCTTGATAGAAGCACAGTGGCTGGGCAGCACTTTGGCCAAATGGTTAGCACTTCCGCCTGGCAGTACTAGGGTTGTTTGTTTGAATCCCAGCCATGGCACCTCCTGCCTGGAGTTTGCATGTTCTCCCTGTGCCTGCGTGGGTTTCCTCCGGGTACTCTGGTTTCCTCCCAGACTCCAAAGACATGCTGGTAGGTTAATTGGATCCTGTCTAAATTGGCCATAGTATGTATATGTATGAATGTAAGTTAGGGACTTTAGATTGTACACCCCTTGAGGGTTAGGGACTGATGTGAATGTACAATATATATGTAAAGTGCTGGGTAAATTGACGGTGCTATGTAAGTACCTGGAATAAATAATAGAAGGTAACAGCTTTAGGAGATACCCCCCCCCCCCACCACCTAACTTATTCATAGAGGAGAAGTAAGGAAGGGCAAGCAAGGTACCCATATGAACCAATCGGACTTCAATAAGGCCATTTTAAGATAAAATCTGGTTCTTTGGGTGGACTGACCCTTAAAATGAGTCTTGATATAAACCATCATCACAAAACATTATTTGTAACGGTGAGCATCGGTCACTAATTATGTATATGGTCACCACAGCAAATCCAGAATAGTGCATACTATTTATTTCAAATACTTTTATAGTGCCGTCAATTTACAGAGTGCTTTACATATATATTGTACATTCACATCAGTCCCTAACCCTCAAGGGGTGTACAATCTAAGGTCCCTAACTCACATTCATACATACACATACTAGGGCCAATTTAGACAGGAGCCAATTAACCTACCAGCATGTCTTTGGAGTGTGGGAGGAAACCAGAGTACCCAGAGGAAACCCATGCAGGCACAAGGAGAACATGCAAACACCAGGCAGAAGGTGCCATGGCTGGGATATGAACCAATGACCCTAGTACTGCTAGGTAGAAGTGCTAACCATTTAGCCACTGTGTTGCCCTATATATCTAGACTCCATAGATTTTACTAAATGAATAGGATAATCTGCATCATTGAGGCTATAGAGCTATAAAGTGATTGACAGCAGTCCACCAGCATCCTTAGACCCACAAGCTCTATTGACAGACAATGATGAAGTTGACAGATAAAAACTGTAAATGTACAATTAGTTATATATATATATTTATACAGTCCTGATTATGTGCTTTTCTTTTTCCTTCCTTTAAATAATTATTGATCTTCTGTGTTCAGTTTCTTCAATGCCCTTGTCCACCCAGCTTTCTGAGGAGGAAGAGAAGGTGAGAGATCTACTGAGCGTAAATGGAGTTCTGTTATCTTAATATATTGTGAAAAAGTGCTTGACTGTGTGTTGTATGAGCACAGCGTGGCCACTGTATAGCACGTTGCAGATTCTGGGTTCAATTCCCAAGGGGACTCTACCTATTTGTGTAAATTACTGTATCTGTGTGTTTTCATGTGTTCCAAAGATTTCCTAATCCACTGCTTCTGGTGTTGTTTTTTTATTGTTAATTTGGTGTATCAGAATTTTTATACTTGGTATATTACTGTGCTGATTTATTTTAGTGCATGGAATATCCAACATGATAGTGGTATAGGCACTAGTATTAATTTAGGATTAGGTTAAGGCTCGGTTCAAACCTATGCAGTTTGCATTTGATCTGTTTCTGCAGTGCGTTTTGAGTTTTTTTGCACATGCTTTTTGCAAGGTTTTTTTTTCTTGTTTCTAGGCAGATTTAAAATGCATAAAAAATGTACTACATGCTTTTCTGCAGCATTTCCATTGAAGTCCATAGAACCAAAAACATAACTTTTGCATTTAAAAAAAAGTCCCTAACCCTTTCCAAAAAATGCACGGGGTGAAAACATAGAGATGTGAACGTGTCCAATAGGAAATCATGTTACACGGACTGTAGTGTGTTTCTGCAAAACGCAAAACACTGCGGAAAATGCTTAGATGTGAGCCTAGGGTAAGGTGGAATATAACTTGCTTTATTTGTGATGTATCATACATGTGCACTAAGGTATTACATGAAGCAAAAGGGTCAGATATGTATGAGGAAGGAAAGTTCACTTTTATCCAAAATTTTAATGCCAAAATTTTATATTCTGACAATTTCTATACAGATATTATCAGAGGCTGAAAAAAAAAACCATGATATATCCTTCCATACCATACTGTTAGGTTGATCAGCTTCAACATTGCCACTAGAATGTATGTTTTATGTAGGGAAAATAGGTGGCAAGCTTCTTGGTGGAGGGATTGCTGTGAGTGGTTCTGTCTACTCCGTGAAGTACTTTGGAAATGTCTTGAACTATAACTGACGAAAATCAGTTGAAATAAATACATGTGAAAAATTATGACAGTGGTCAACTGCTGCCAATAGTACAATGCTGGCGGAATTATGCATTTCCAATAAAATGTTTTATGTGTTAATGTGGAATCAACACCATTCCAATGATCATCAGGATGATCTTAGAAATGCAGATTTAGAGACGGCTTGGACTAGGACTAGACTTTATCCTTAAAGCCCAAGTGAACTGTGAACCCACTAAATACACTTCAGGTGAATTTAAACAAAGTCTTACAACTCTAAAATGATTTAATTCACTGTAAATGTATTTATTAGATTCACAGCTCATGCTTTTCAAAAGCAGCCACAGCCCAAGTAGAAAAGCCTGACCCCTGACAGCATGCAGCAGAGAAGGACATATACTCTGTGCAAGCAGACTTTCTGCAGCAGTCCAACACCCCCCCCCCCCCCCACTGGTTCAGAGCTAGAGCTCCCCAATCAGAAGCAAGCATGAGCTTTGCTGATCTTTGATCTCCAGCACTGACCCAGCAGGGGGCATGATGGATCTCTGCTGAGAGGCAACTGCTTACTCACAAGGATCCTTCTGGCATGGGACTGGATTCACGATGTTGCTGTTCTCTAAAGTAAAGAAACTGCAAGAGGTAATTCACACAGGCACAGAGGCTCATACAGTATGAAAGAGCCATTTGTATATACTTCTGGAGCAGAGAGGAACTGTGTGCAGGCAGCTTATGTTAGTCAATGAAGACGCAGTGGCTGTACAGACCCATTTGCATTTTAGAGGCGTGCAGGGACAGATGCACAGCATTCAACGCACGCTGTCTATGCTTGGGGCCATGCACCCATTCCTGCACATCTGTCAAATCATTAGTAAGACCTCATCTGAGGTCATCTGAGGTCATCACAGAGGACAAGGGGGCACTCTTTACATCTGGAGGAAAACGGATTTAATCTCCAAACACAGAAAGGGTTCTTCACAGTGAGAGCTGTGAAATGTGGAATAGACTCCCTCAAGAGTTGGTTCTGGCCAGCTCAGTGGATTGCTTTAAAAAAGGCCTGGATTCTTTCTTAGATACACAGAATATAACTGGATACTAACATTTATAGGTAAAGTTGATCCAGGGATTATCCGATTATCTCTCGGGGGATCAGGAAGGAATTTTTTTCCCTGCAGGAGCAAATTGGAGCATGCTTTGCTGGGTTTTTTTGCATTCCTCTGAATCAACTGTGGGTATAGGATTAAAACTTTTTTCTTTTTTTAATGGTTGAACTGGATGGACTTTTGTCTTTTTTCAGCCTGACTATGTAACTATGTCAAACTCAGATGTGTGGGTGAGCCCCATAGCTACTGTGTCTCCATTGGCTAACATAGGCTGCCTCCACTCTACTCAAAAAACATAAACAAACAACTCTTGCATACCAAATGGGCCTCTGTGCCCATGTAAATAGGACTTTGAATATTTGATTTTATGCACCAGGAATTTAACCAATTGCTATTATTAAGGACAGGATCTTGTCCAAAATGCATAAGTAGAATACCTCCATTGTGTCTTTTTGTGCCTTTGGAGGTTAGTAAAGATTATTCCATGGGTACTCTGACTGCTGCTGGTCTTTCTGTTGGTTGGTGCTAACACATGGGCTCATTTCACTAAAAATATATTTTTAGTTTATGATTTTAAGTTGCCATAATAATCGTTATTTTCCGGGACAATTAGAGAAGAGAATATTCACATGGCTGAAAATAGCCAATTGTTATAGCAAACAATGTATGTATAGCTTATGGAGTATGCCCATGAAGAGGTGTGGTTGTTGGCATGTGGGGTTTGGTTAACCAAGCTGATGTATGGCAGGGTTAAGTGGTATACTGCTATTTTCTGGAAATGGAATAACATATCCCTGTATTTGAAGGTCACAAGATGTATCATGGAGGTCCTTGCCGAGTCGCTGTCCACGCAGGGGTCCGAAAAGGTCAGCAGTGGCTGTATCCGACTACTCAGGGAAGGTCATGTCTCCTTTTGCTTCTTCTTGGCAATCACTTACCATGTTCAATTAACAATATGAAAATTCAATATTTATCAATATTTTCATCCAAGGTTTACCCAAGATTCAACATTTCTCAGGTGAAAAATGTGTGCATTTTAGGTGGACATTGTGTGAATTTTGGGTGAAAATATTGATAAATAGACTCCTTTATTTTGCCTATATCAAGTAATCAGGTTCTCAATTTTGTTTTCTCATACTGGGGACAATTCACAAAGTGGTACCTTACCACATCCAAGTATGCGGTAAGATACTGCACAGCGTTTTTCAAAAGGTTTGTTGGAATTCATTAAAAAATGCTACTAAAATAATGCATAAGTTATTTTATGAAGTCGAACGGTATTTTAGTAGTGAAAAAATGCGGTAATGCAATGCCTGGCTGTAACTGGCATATTTATTGATAGTAGTTTCTTAAAAACTTGCTCCTTAATAACCATGGCAGTTACCAGTTGTTAAGGATGCTGGCAGCCACCTGCTCCTTAACAACTAGAACATACTGCATGCCTCAACCACTGCTTAATTACTGCATGCATTTAATTATTTTCTTCTGTGAGTTGACTTTACCATCTTTTTATGAGGTATTTACCGAGCGTTTTTGCTATTTGTGGTAAATACCGCATACTAGCAATAGTGGATTGACATTCTCAGTATCACATGCGATATGTGGTCAAGTGACTGACGTAAGGCATGTTATAACCTTTATTGAATTGTCCCCATTGTCTCATCTTATCTCTGCAGTCATACTCCTAGACCTAATGCAACATAGCATGCTAAAGACTGTAGGAAGATAAGAATCCCAAAAACTGTGAGGTGGACAATAATTAAGTCAGATAAGTCAGAGATATCTCACTGCTGGAGTATGCAAGCCATACAAGAAGCCGGGGGCTGACTCAGCCCACCAGGCTCCAGATATAATTACAATATCATGTCTAGCCACATTGACCTATTAAGAAAAACAATATACTGTGTGCATGTATGTGTGTGTATATATATATATGTGTATATATATATATATATACACACACACACACACACTATATTGCCAACAGTATTGGGACACCTGCCTTTCCACACACATGAATTTTAATGGCATCCCAGTCTTAGACCATTGGGTTCAATATTGAGTTGGCCCACCCTTTGCAGCTATAACAGCTTCAACTCTTCTGGGAAGGCTGTCCACAAGGTTTAGGCACGTGCCTATGGGAATGTTTGACCAATCTTTCAAAAGTGCATTTGTGAGGTCAGGCACTGATGTCAGATGAGAAGGCCTGGCTCGCAGTCTCCACTCTAATTCATCCCAAAGGTGTTCTATCAAGTTGAGGTCAGGACTGCAGGCATGCTGGTATGGCATGCTGGTATACTGATGTCTTAAGAGTTCCCTTCACTGGAACTAAGGGGCCAAGCCAATCCCCTAAAAAACAACCCCCACACCATAATCCCCCCTCTACCAAACTTTACACTTTGCACAATGCAGGCAAGTACCGTTGTCTTAGCAACCGCTAAACTCAGAAACGTCCATCGGATTGCCAGAGAAGTGTGATTCATCACTCCAGAGAACATGTCTCCACTGCTCTAGAGTCCAGTGGCGGCGTGCTTTACACCACTGCATCTGACACTTTGTATTGCACTTGGTGATGTAAGGTTTGGATGCAGCTGCTCGGCCATGGAAACCCATTCCATGAAGCTCTCTATGCACTGTTGTTGTGCTAATCTGAAAGCCACACCAAGTTTGGAGGTCTTTAGCTATTGACTCTGCAGACAGTTGGCTACTTCTATACACTGTATGCTTCAGCATGCACTGACCCCCGCTCTGTCATTTTACGTGGCCTACCACTTGGTGGATGAGTTGCTGTTGTTCCCAGTTGTTTCCACTTTGTTATAATACCACTAACAGTTGACCGTGGAATATTTAATAGCAAGGAAATGTCACGGATGGACTTATTGCACAAGTGGCAATCTATCACAGTACCACCCTTGAATTCACTGAGCTACTGAAAGCAACCCATTCTTTCACAAATGTTTGTAGAAGCAGTCTTCATGCCTGGGTGCTTGATTTTATACACATGTGGCCATGGAGGTGATTGGAACACCTGAATTCAATGATTTGGAGGGCTGGCCCAATACTTTTAGATATATAGATATATCTTTTGTTATTTATTTATTTATATTTACTAACATACAATTAGTTTGAAGCTGCAAAGAAAAATTATTGGTTATTATTTGCTATGGGTTACTGCACTTTGCCATTGTTCCTAGACTTACTGCAGAATACAGTTTTTTTTATTATATCTTTTATTGAAGTTTAATTGAAAGTATAAAAAAAGTCCACATTACAAAAACCATCATAAATTCCTATTACATCTTACACATTCCCTTAAAACCCAACCCTCCCCCCCAAACCACCCCCACCCAAACCACCCCCACCCCACACAAAATTCCCCTCCTATTGATCTAATCGTATATCTATATCTCTTTAGTGCTTTAAATTCTCCCAATCTACTACCGGGGAATCTTTCATTTTTAAATATTTTTCTGATGTTTTAAACTCGTTCCATCTACCCCAAATCTTTCTAAATTTTTCTGTTTCATCTTTCTCCATGAAACAAAGTTCCTCCATCCTGTTAACATATTCTATTCTATCAATCCAGTCCTTCATTGTTGCTGGATCCTGGGCTTTCCAAAACTTGGGGATTAAACCCTTAGCTACACTAATCAGATGGTATACTAAGCTGTTTTTATATTGTTTTACTGACATCTCTGTTTTTAAAGAAGAGACACACCCACGGATCCTTCTGTATAGGTGTCCCCCAAATTTCCTGTATATGGTGTATTATCTAGTGCCAAAATAACAGAATGTTTGGACAATCCCACCATATATGTGTCATTATCCCTATTGCCCCACACTCTCTCCAACATGAAGGTGGTACTTCTTCTCACTGTTTATGTGCCACACTTGGTGTACAATACCATCTGGATAAACATTTATAGTTCATCTCAACTATGTTTGTGTTCATCACCCCATGCATTAACGTAAACATTTTCCTCTTCTGGTGATCATTAATTTTTTTTCCCAATTCTATTTTCCAACCCTCCAAGAACGACGGGGATCCAGCTCCCCCCAATTCAGCCAAGATCTTATAAACCTTAGAGATTATATGTCCACCTCCCGTCTTAGAACTCAAGAGTTTGTCCAATGGGAGCATGTCCCGTCCTCAGAGGCTGGGGGAGTGTTGAGAAAAAGTGTCTCAATTGACAATATCTCAATTCATCTAAAACAAAAAACAATTCCCTTTTATTCTTTAATTCTTGAAAAGGACATAACTTCCCTTTATCTACTATATCTCCCAACCGTGCATTTCTATCTTTAAACCATTTTCCCGAAATGTTTCCCCTCCCCAGGGGGAAAAAATTCTGTGTCTAGCAACGGTATCTGTAGTGAATTATATTTCCATCCCATGGACTTATGTAGACCATCCCAAACTCTCAATACTGCAGAATACAGTTTACCAGTGTCTCATTACAAGGAGATGAGAAGTCTATAGGAACAGATGCTATGTTGGGAAAATACTCATGAAGCACAATTTTAGTGTTGGTAACAGAGGGGGGTTTATTTATCAAAGCACCAAGGGAACTGTGATCATTGTACACCAATAGTATGCCATGTGGCCTTATTCTAAAAAAGGGTTTCATTCTTAAGTGCTAATATTTCTGCAGTAACCCAAAGTAAAAAGCAAAATCCACCTTGTACTGGTCTCACATCAGCTGATGTCTATGGTCACCAGTCTGATTCAAACTATTTCTGGAAAAGCACAGCTTCAAAAGAAAACCCAGTCCTGAATGGTTGCTACAAGGCTGTAGAGATTATCTGAGAAACTGCTTTGTTGAGACACAAAGCTCAATTCTTTGTTCACTAAAATCTCTCTGTCTTACAATATTGGGTTTTACAGATGAAAGACTAATCTCCATTCTGCGTCATCAACATCTCCTGAGAGAACTGGAGGACCTGAGCCATCGAGGTAAAGTGAACAGTTTTGGAGGATTTATCTCTTGGGGACTAATGTCTATTCTAACCTTGAGGAGTTCAGGATGCTGTAATGGTCAGATGAATTCAATCATCCCCAGCACTTGGCAATATAATTGAATTTTACATTTCCCTTTTTCTCAGGAAGCACATGGTAGGCATGAAACTTGATAACAAAGATGTATTTTATATAATTGTTGTCCCCAGGTATCAGCCTAGTAAAACAGAGGTATATTGGCTTTTCAAATGTGAAAGCACAGTAGCAGGATGTAGTCTGTACAACTACTGCAGGACCCAACATCAGAGATAGAAAAATTTGGCACATTTAGGAGCAAACTGACCATCTACAACCTAACTGGCCTTGTACACTGTAGTGACGCAGATCATCCCTAAAGAGAGGCTTGCTAGCACACTGTCAGCCAGTTCTTTTGCTTAATCAGCACACATGCATCTCTACCTGACACCACCACCTCAGTGGCCTCCTTCAATAACCTCCATGTCTCAAGTCCGTGGTGACATTACCCAATCGAGGTGCTGGATTTTGTTTGTGCTAGAATGAGCCTTCCCTTACCACTTTACTAATATAAGTGAGACCCTAACAACCCCTTGTAAGATCAGTAAAGTTCAAGCTTTAACACCCAATAGTTTATACTGAGAATAAAAGACTCAAGTCAAAATGTTTGTGATAATGTAAGGATATCTAAGAATATTTGTCAGGTTTATATTGACTGTGAATAAACATTTCCCCAAACAGGACACATACAGCAATAATGTTTTTGGTTAGTTGGGAAGGGTTAGGTCCTTCTTTGGTTTCTTTATTGCTTTTAGTGTTCCTGTTAGGGGAAATTCCCCTAATTTTCTATCCTAGAGACAGCAGTCATCAGGATAGGAAGTGAAGGGTATTCTACTCAACCAGAATACAGAGAGCATTAAAATGCTGACAGCCGCTCTGACCCTTTCTCAACCTTTTTAAAACTGGAGGTATTTCTTTGGCACAGGATTTCTCAACCAGGGTTCCACTTATGGTTGCTGAGCAATTTCTGCTTTTCAGATAAGTTTTGATCTTTTTAACTATCTATAAGAGGTTAATTCTTCCCAATAGCCACAAGTGTAAGGAGCATTCTTCCTATTGACCTTCACACTAATGCAGGGGTGGGCAAACTGCGGCTCTCCAGCTGTTGTGGAACTGCCTTTCCCATGAGGCATTGCAACATTACAAAATTGACAGTTACAGCTATGACTTGCAGAGGCATGATGGAACTTGTAGTCCTGCAACAGCTGGAGAGCCACAGTTTGCCCACCCCTGCATTAGTGTGAAGGTCAATAGGAAGAATGCTCCTTACACTTGTGGCTATTGGGAAGAATTAACCTCTTATAGATAGTTAAAAAGATCAAAACTTATCTGAAAGTTATTTCAAGGGCTCCACCATGTTGAAAAGGTTGCAAAAGGCTGTTTTAGAACTATTGAGATGTAAAAGCTGTAAATGTAATAAGCGCAGTGTCATCAGTGCCTCTATGTGCCAGCAGTGTTCATGGATAAACCCACAATTTACTATTATAGCTGTGGAACATAAGGTCTTGCTTGCAGTGTGTTGGAACTGCTGAAGTATGTCAGGACTAGCTATTATGGTAGTTCATCTATGAAGAATTATTTATGTTATGTATTCATTTATAAGAATGCTTTGTTTACTCTCATCTTGTATTATTAAACCCTTGCAGTAGTGCTGATCTCTTGACCATGGCTACATTTTTTCTATCCTCTTTCCAACATTTTTGGTCTCTCTGTTCATAACTATGATGTATAACTGGCTACATTTACACTTTACATTAAACCTCAGGCACCTCGTGATGCTGGCATGTACTTGTACTTGCCTTCTAATTCATTTTGTGCCCAGGGAAAACACTGGGTGCTTGGAACAGACATTGGTTTCCCCAATCTGCAAACAGTGCCTAGAATCCAGGGTCCTCCCCAGACACAAAGAAAGTAATTTGAAGATGAGCTTGAGTACCATATGCACCAGTAATGATAGTATTTTAAAATTTGGTGGGCATGGCAGGTTCAATCTATATTCTTTCTACTAATCCTGTATATAAAAATCCTACAAAGGGTATTTCAGAGTTTTTTTTTCCACTTGCATAGAGCAACAAAATATTAGTATAAGGTACAGTAATGGGTGTTGTCTAAAATCCATGATCTCGGCTGTGACACTTAACATCACCTGCCTATATTCACCCTGTGTTTATGCTACCTTTAGAAAAGTCCCAGCAGCAAGGAGAACGGGAAAGCAGTGAAGAAGAAGAACTTAAGAAAAGAACCAATGAGAGTCCTGTACCTGCTACTAAAAAAGATACACAAGCAAAGAGAACAGACAATGAAGAATCAAAAGAGTTTGAGAAGATCGAAAAAGTGGAGGTGAAACAGAAAGAGCACGGTGCATCAGCTGAGGAGAAAGCCCAGGAGTTGCTGGAGGAAGAGGAGGACAAAAGAAGCCCTGCTGCAAAGAGAGATGACAGTCAAGGAAAAAGAGCTGGAAATGTGGTCAGGGATGCTGCAGCCACCAAGAGAAAGGACATGGAGAAAAAACAATTTAGTGATGAGAATGAGGAAAACAGCTCAGAGGAAGAGCATGGCAGAGGATACCATGAGAACAGCAAAGGGTGGTACCACAGGGACCATGACGAATGGGAAAAAAGAAAAAGAGGATCCCAGAGAAGGATGGCAGAGGACCCCAGCCAAGAAGAAACAGCCCAGTTTGAGACAGAAGACAGAGGTGTGAAATATTTCAACTCCAAGACTCACATGCATGGTTATCCTGGTGAAGAGAAGAGACACATCCACCACCCAGAAGAAGGAGACTTGGACAGGGAGAGGAACTACTATGGACAAGAGGAAGATGAAATGGGGAGGAGAGAGACACCATCACAATGGCAGACCTGGAAATCATGAACAAAGAGAAGAGGAAGAAGAGAGGGAGCTGGAGGAAATGGAAGAACGAGAGGAGCATAGAGCTGAGGTGAGACAGTGAGAACAAAATAGTGGGTGAAAAATATTTAAAGCTTATCTCAAGCTAGCCCTAGTCAACCTTTGCCATCAAGGTGTACCTCCTTCTCCATCTAAATACCCAATTACATATTCTAAAAGCCACAAATACTTTTCTGAATTTCTTGGTCATGCTAGGTCCCAAGTCTCCTATTTCCTGGGTTGCAGATGTGTCCATCTGATGGCCATGTTGCTGCTGCTTTGGTGACATAGACACTTCTTATTTAAATTATGAGACTCAGAGGAGGTACTTTTGCCCATTTACTTTTGCCATTTGCTTTGAAAAACATGGGCCTGTCATAACTGACCATCCTTTGCTAGTTGCCCAGTTCTCATATTGACCTTCTGGCTTCCGTACTTTCTCAGCCACTGACCAGGAACAAATGTTAATAGCAGGAAAGTAGAAGCTAAGTCAGAAGTCATTATCTGCATACCTGTTCTGGAATAGTGACTCCAACTGCTGAATCAAGAGGGACAGGATCAGGGGCGGACTGACAACTCATGGGGCCCTCGGGCAGTAGGGGATTATGGGGCCCCTGTGTTCTCGCCCACACCCAAAAAAGCCTATGAAAAAGCCAATGAGAGGTACCAGGAGCATCTCATGGGGCCCTCTACTGACCCAGGGCCCTCGGGCAGTGTCCGAGTGCTCGAATGGTCAGTCCGCCCCTGGACAGGATGATATCCAGGCAACTAGTACTATCAGAATATGAAGTCAGCAATTGCAGTAGGCCGATCTGAAGACAGTGCCTGTCAAGGAGGGCAGAATGTGGCCTGGTTGGTCCAACCCAAAGGGGAGCATTCTGAAGATAAAGAAGCAGGCCCTAAACCTTCCTTACCCCCCCGGAACCTCTCCCTACCCCTAGTGCTGTCCGAGACAGGTGCGCTCTCTCTATACTAACTGCTTCACAAATGCATGCCAAAACCAAGAGGCAGGGACTTAGAGACTCTGCTTGACCCGAGATGGCCACCAGGGTCACCTGGATCCAGTGTAGCCAATAGGGTTGCCACCATCCCTTTGAAACCGAACTTGTATTATTTACACAGGTTCTGTGGCTGCTTAAGGTGATAATTAAACTCACCTAGTGCCTTATGTGCATTAAATTAGCCTCAGAACCTGTGTTTGGTTTTAAAGGGATGAGGTGGCAACCTTAGTAGTCAACTGGTATGCTGCCCCAGGGGACCGAGGGAATTATAGGGAAACCCAGTTTCTCTTGACTTTCTCCTCCAGCTGCATTACCGTTCTGGACGATCGCCACCTGCAGTAGAGAATGTAGACTGCACTTGCAATAGAGCTGAGAAGAGGAAGAGGTGCTTGTAGGCAAGAGTATATAGTTTTTGTGTTTCACAGGGCAGAGTTGGGAAGGCTGATAACATTGTTAGAGATTTCAGTTCGGTAAATGGGAAGTTACTAGGACACCAGATTTCTGGCAGGATTCATAGATATTTTTCTGTACTTGCAGAAAATCTACTTTGCCTGAAGAAAAGGAAACTACTGCAGCCACCATATCTAAGGGCTGATCATCTGCAATAAATAAAAATTTATTTTGGGGTTGAAATATACTTTAAACCAACCTGAAGTCAAAAAATATATTCCTTTTTTTTTTTGGTGGTGTCAGCAACTCATATGTTAAAGGATAAGTTCACCTTTTAGAACATGTTACATGCTTCAGCTGCTGCCACCTCTCCCCCCAATCTGCCTCTCAACGTAAGAGCGGGCAGGGGATCCTCTTGCTATACCTGCTGTCACAATTCAAAAACAGCTCCGCGAACATGGCTGTGGAGGTCATTCACAGTTTCCTGTGAATGAATGAACTACAAGTACTGTCAGCCACTGCGGCAGATGGCTTGTAGCTCTGATTGAAATATGAGGGTGCTGATGAGCACCTTTGTAGTTTATTCACAAACCCTGCAGCTTTCAAACTGACAGCCTGTATAAAGGTACAGGTGGAAGGCTGCAGGGCTTGTCTGCAGAAGCCTGACGTTGCACCCCTGGTCCACTGATCACAGGTGCAATGCTTTCCAGGCTCCTGCAGGGAAAAAATAAATGCACATTTTTTTTCTGCAAAAATATGGGTATTTAATTTTTTTCTAAAAAAGGTGAACGTTTCCTTTAATAATTCTGTATTCATTGTAAGCACCCCGTATGCCTGAACTACTGGTGTTAAATGATAATGCATAGTACTCCAGAGTCATATAAAACAATCACAGCCGTGCCCTTTCATTTGTTTGTTTGAACTGACTTAAACTGATTACAAGTAGAACTATGGCCTGTTATTAAAAAGTATGTGCTGCAGCAATTATACAGTAAGTGCCTACGCACTTGCAGTTTTCTCTTTTTCTCCTTTAAAGTCCCACAAATACCTGTTGATCCTGCCAGTGAAATCCATCTCAAGCAACTTCCCTTGATGGTGTGGCAACAATGCTGAACTGCTTCTGAATTCAGACTGTGCTGTTTTTGCATTACAGTGTCATGAAAATGTTTGCAGGGGTTTGTGGCTATAAGCATTGTCACTACTATTTCACAAGCCTGTAGCTTGCCAATCCCTGGCCATACCTAGTCCCAGGGGCATCCCTAGGGTTGGTGTCACCCGGTGTGGTAACACTTGGTGTCAACCCTCTGACTATCCCCGCTGGATGGATCGGATCTGTCGATTGAGCATAATGGATTGGAGTCTGATCCATTATGCTCTCCAATCCACAGATCCAATCCATCCTGCGGGGATTGTCGGCTTGCAACCTATATGGGGTTAACTGATCTCTCCACGAGCTCCACAAAAAGATACATTTTAAAACAATCCCCAAGATGGATCGGATCTGCGGATTGGGGAGCATAATGGATCGGACTCTGATCCATTATGCTCCATCCGTAGATCCGATCCATCCTGCAGGGATCATCTGCTTGCTTTAAAACTTACCTTTTCGTGGAGCGGGTTCGGTGTCACCCCGGTACAGCGTGCACCCCCCCACACCTGCCTAGGGACGCCACTGCCTAGTCCTGCCCACTGCTTTCTGGATTGCCAGCACTGCCTGAATCCCTAACAACTGTGAGCTGCAGTGTCTCAGAGGGGGTGTATGTGAGACACACAAATGAAGGAGGATTTGGCCAACTCATGGAAGATAAAGGAAGTTTTGTTGTTTACTTTATGAGGCTTATGCATCACATTGTAACTAGATGTGGGACTTGTTATAAAGAGCCTTTAGTTGTACTTTAAAGCGTATTCTGTGAATCTTTCCAAAAACTGTTCCTTTTATGTCCAACTTGGGCCTAGGTTATGTCCCCTAGCCTGTCACTGCTGGAATCCTCCATTATCAGTGATTGCTCAGTGTCTCTGGATTTATCTGAGGTTTTATGCCCCAGTGATATGTTTGTACTGGACCAGAATAAGTAGCAAAGTGCAAGCTTCTCTGCCATAAACTATCTGTACTTTTGGCGTGTCTTAGATTTATTACGGGATAGACTGAATCTGTGTTTTTCATTTTTTTTTAGCCTGAATTTGTTGTAATCAGACTTTATGGCAGTTCTTCAGGGCGTCCACTGGACTTTAGTTATTTGATATAACATCAACAGCAATAAATATTCTTATCATAAATGTTGTGCTCTGTCAGTTTCTTTAAGGTAGAATTCTGTCTTTTCCTATTAAGTTCACCTAAGTTCGCTTTAAAGTACAACTAAAACTTTATAACAAATCCCACATCCAGTTACAATGTGATGCATAAGCCTCATAAAGTAAACAACAAAACTTCCTTTATCTTCCATGAGGTTTATTCATTGCTTGAATAAAGTTAAATCAGCTATTATGTGGGACAAAGCAACCCATGGAGCATTTTAAAGTACAAAACCAGCAGTGGCAGACACCTTGTTTCTGACTCCTTGTTAGTTCTTTAAAGCCCAATCAGCCTTCAGTTAAAATTTGTTAAATACAGCCAAAATAGCCACAGCCTGAATAAAAAAAGTCTATCCCTCACCAGCAGCTGCAGACTGGGACCTTTCCATTCTATGGGGAGGCAGTAGTCTAATTGCAGAGGTCCGACCCATCCCCTATTAAATAACTACAATCCGCATAGCTCATGTTCCCCCTTAATTGGAGAGCTCTGACCAGGGGCAGACTGACAACTCATGGGGCCCCTGGGCAATAGGGGATCATGGGGCCCCTGTGCCCTTGACCAAACTCAAAAAAGCCTATGAAAAAAGGTACCAGGGGCATCTCATGGGGCCCCCTACTGACCCCGGGCCCTGGCTCTGACTCTACTTTGCAGCTGCTGGCAGGGGAGAGACTTTTCTGCTCAGGCTTTGACTGCTTTTTTTGAATGAAAATTACCAGTAAGACTTTGCAAACCTTTAATTTTGATGAACCTGAAATATATTTAGATTTATTTAAACTGACCATTCAATGGGGCTTTAAAATAACAAACTACAATAAGGCTTATGCAACAAACTGAATATTCAGTTTTAAATTATAATTTTGCATGTTTTTTTTCTTAACAAAAGATGAATATTTGCTGCCTTATTGAGTGTTGTTTACTGTTTGTGAGTCTGAATATTCAGTTTAAAGCCCAAACTTCAGCTATATTAGCAACTGCAAAAAATGTCATGGTCCTTCATACAAAAGGTGTTCAGTCTTAAATTTTATTTTATTTAGAAAGCAGCCACAGCCTGAGTAGACAAGCCTATCTCCTGCCAGCATGATACAGAAAAGAACCCATGCTTTGTGTGTGGAAGCTGTGGTCTCTCTTCAGATGTCCAACACATCCCTTGTTGAGTCAGAGCTAAAAATTTCCAATCAATAGGGGGGCATTGGTCTGACTCAGCAGGGAGTGGATCAGACCTCTGGAGAGAGACCACTACTTCCACAAGGAAAGCAACGGTCCTTTTCTGAAACATGCTGCCAAGAAATAGGCTGCTCTGCTCAGGCTTCAGTTGCTTTGTTATCTTTTGTTTCATAGTTTGTGAAATATATTTAGCTGGTTTATACAGAAGGTTCAATGAAGCTTTAAGTGTCAGCACAGTTTCAGCTAGTTCTTTTATTATTCTGATCACACAGATCAAATACATGTAACACCCTCCAGTTCTAGTTGGTTAGGTTGGTTGGTTTATTTTTTTAAGATAGAGGCTGAGTAGCAGGACAGGCAGGGAGGTTCTGAAGGTCAGAGCTTCTGGATCCCTCCCACCTCTCCAGAAAATCTGAGAGCTTTCTGGAAGAGGGACAGGGGAGGGCAGGAGTTTCAGATCTGTATGCTTAAGGGACCTTGGCCAATCCCCTGGCAGGGAGCTGGGAATGGTGACCAAGGCAATCCTTAAGAATTACAGAGCCTGGGAGCAGAGTAAGGTAGTGTTGGGTGGAAGATGGAGTGAGAGACTGGAGTGTGGAGCCTGTGAGGGGGCCCAGGGAGGGGCCTTTTGTCTCCTTGATAGGGACAGCCTGTGAAGCAGGGAAAGAGGCAGCCCAGCATAAGGCCTGAAGGCAGCACCAAGCTAACAGGAAAAGACAGGTGCAATACCCAACTTGTCTTTATCTGGGACTGTGCTAAGTTTACAGCTCCTGGGCCCCCTTGCCCAAGGATACCCTCAAGGCAGCTGGGTGAAGAGCAGATATCATCTGGGGTCTGAGGAGGTACACCAGAGAGCCTTTTGTGTTCTCAAAGGATGTGCTATCCACATTTTTTGTACATCGTTTCTAAGGAGTTTGTCCTCGGATTCTGCAGTACCTCGGGCATCCCATATACCCCTAGACCCTATCCAAGTTCTAAACCCCTTAATAAAATCACAAAACCAAGCTCAAGGACTGTTTAGTGACTCCTGTGTACAAAGTTTGGAAGAAAATGTGTGTTGCCTGGCTGTGCAGAACTTTAAGGGGACCCAAAACTCAGTGACTCCTAAGAGGGTAGTGCTACATACAGTATGTATGGCCTAATCAGTTAAAAATTTGTCAAACTGCCACGTCTGTTGATTGGACCATACCACTGCTTAAAAAAGAGAATGTGCACATTTATAAAGTTCTACAAATGTGCTTAGCACTTTGCTTTGGTACTTTAAACCCCCCATTCAATTACATGAATAGTAAAAAAAGGGGAAAGGAAGAAAGCCTAGGCCTGTTGAAGTCTTGTGCCTGGCCTCTCAGCCAATCAAGGAGTGTTTTCTCTAGCATTATGCAGAGAGCACACCATAGGACAGTACAACCTTCATTTTTTGATTGGAACACAAAATGCAGGCACAGTATGCAGTAAGCACTGCAGTTTCCAGTGTACAATATATAGCAATATCCGCCCTCCATTATACATGAAGGCCCTAGTAAGGGCTATGGCAGTGTTCACAATTCATTTTTATAGCCTTGTATTATTGTGCCTTTAAGGAGCGGAATATCCAAGAGGTGGAAGAAGAACTGAGGAAGGCAGCAGAACGATTGCAGGAAATCCACCGGGGCTGAGAGAAACAAGAAGGTTCAACCCTGCGTCTTCCAGCCAATATTCTGCACATATCTTGCGCATTGTCTGATATCTCATGTACACGATTCCCTGGTATTCTTCTACGCTGGCCTGTATACCATTTATACAACAGCAGGCTGTATCTGTTGCTATTGTAAAATAAAGCTTTCCTGCAATGTTAGTACATTAAAGAGGAATTCCACTATGTATTGTGTATATTTATATTAGCCTCATAGCAACTCACTATATATATTATAATATATATATATAGATAATAGATATATATATATATATATATATATATATATATCTCACCGTATGGTTTCTTTTGCCTCTAATTTGGAATGTGACCACTTCTCAGCACATCAAAGCTGAGCAAGATTAAACCAGGGAAAAAAATGAACTCCTATAATGCAGTTAAGGCTCTCATTGTTCTGATCCTGCATGATATAGATGTTGTGGAGCAGAATGTGCAAAGTGCAATGACTGGGTCAATTGTCATCACATCCAAAGAGATTTGTTTTACTGCAATTCATAGGAGGAGAAACTGGAACCTGGTTTAATACATTCAGTGCACATTGCCTAGCCTAGTGCAATTCTATTGGGTACTTAACTTCTAATCTATTGCAAGGAAAATAAAATTCAACGTGTGATTTAATTATGTTGGGCTTATCAGTGACTCATTTTGCTATAGTGGAGCTCTTTTTTTTCAGATCAGATCCTGTTTTTTTTTTTTTTTGTATCTAGAGCAGGATAGTTCATCTGTCCTTTTTCTGAAGTCAATTTGCTTCACCAAAGTTGCTCACACGACATCTAGAAGTTCTTAAATCTAGGAAAGTATTCTATTGTTGGTTCAGCTACAACCTATTCAATATGTTAACATCACGCAGCTATACTTTACAGAAATATTAGTTTTTAATTTAAGTTACAATTAGCAGAAGAACGGCAGTGTCAAATAAGGGAAGAGGGGAATAATGTCCTAGGTAGCATTGGACCCTCCAGAAACTGTATATAGATGGTCATATATGTAATTCCGGTCTCTGTTCTGTGATTATATTCAAGTTTGCTGTGAAAATTAAATAAAAGTGAAAATTTCAGGGTCCATTTTCTTTAGTTAATGGAAGCTATGAATGCCAGTGTGCTTTGTGTCAAAGTCCATTCTTTTGGAAATTCTGTAGTAAACTCTTTGCTGAAATATGGGAGATGAAATGTGCAGTCCAAGGTTAGCCTTCTTTGTACTCTAAAGTTGCTTGAAAGAGTAAAGTTCTTGTTACCTATAGCAACTGTCAATTCTCCCTTTTGTCTTCCCAGTACAGTTTGATAAAAAGACTGATTGGTTGCTGTGGGAAACAAGACCGACTTTCCAAGAGGCCTATTGTTTAAGTCCAGTAGAAGAAGCTCCATGCTTGTCTACATCATGGCCACAAGCACACAAATGTCCACCAGAAATCCACAAAAGTGGACATGTTATTTGTCAACAATCAGCAGACAGGGGTGGGGTATACATATTAAAATAGGAAGAAGAACTGAGCTGCCTCTTGCATGGCTCTGGCAAGGACCTCCTCTCTGTACTGTGCTCCTCACACTGGGGGACAGAGGCCGGGAGCTCCATGATTGAGGTTTGCTCCTGGTTGCTTCCTAGAAGTTTGTCCACATGAGAGAGTAAAGCAGAGAAAAACTCAGGCACTCCTTCATATCCTGGAAGAGAAATTTAGGAATGCATGTTTATTCTGATTAGTATGGTTACCAGTAGTTGCTGTTGAATATTGAGGATTCTACTAAAACCTTCTGTTTCATTCATTTAATTTTTACAGAGAAAAATTTTGTTGCAAATAGACTGTTTAAAAGTGGGCTCAGTAGTTATCTTTTTTGAAAACTGCAGTCCAAATGAGTTAGTAAATCCAGAGGGTGACTAGGAGAAATCCAGGTAAGTGAAAACCTCAACCTTTGAAATAAAAGTATAGCTTGGTACCACCACTGTACTTCCCAAGGTCCATATTTGATGATGGGTACTCAGGTGTCAGCTACGTTTTTACAGAAAATGTCAGAAATTGTAACTCACCCGCTTATATCCCAGAATCTATCAATTACTTTGACAAGCAGTTTTCAAATAATATCTACTTATGCACTTTTTCATCATATGCTTTGTTTAAATTGCCCAATTTTATGACCGGTGTATCCCAGGAAACACTGCAACTTTGCCACACTCATTTAATCCAAGCTCTGTGTAACCCCTAGGACCAAACTCTAAGCAACGCCCCTCAATTGGGGTGAGTGGGTCCGCTTCAAGAATTCGCCATGTGTAACTTCTCTCTCTGTATCCTGCAGTCATTCCCTCAAAGCAGGCTTGAGCTTGACAGCTGGTTGCAGATCAACCAGCAATGGTTGTGCTTGGGAATAGCTTGTCTGCATTATAAACAGGGGTACTCCGTTTACTGACAAAGGGGAATGGTGTGAACTTTTAAAGGAACTTTTATTTGAAACATGATTTCTGCATTTTTAAAGCCCTCTGGAGCATATTCTACACCTTTTTTGCCATAATCTAACAATGAAAATATTACTGAAGAATCCATTTTGTAGATGGATTACAGTGATGTATAAATACATTCCATCAAATGTGTCATTAAATATATCCCTGCTAGTTCTCTGGAGTAGTTGTTAATATTCATCTTACAGTCTATCATAACTTAAATACTAAGTTCACCTTTTCATGAATAATGAAAGGTGAACAAATACCAAATATCCTAGGTCCCCCTCCGGACCCTGCTGCACTGGAAGCAATTGGCATCACGGTCGCTATGTGCAGTGAGGTCCAGAGGGGTGGCCAGGATGATGTAAAACATATTCTAATGATCTTCTTAATCTGGTTTGATTAAACCAATGATTCTGTGTACAGTAGTACAGTGTTAACTAGCAGAAGACATACCTGGAAAAGCGTTGACATCAATCACTGCACAGCGGCCAGACTGTGTGTCCACAATTAAATCTATACCAAAGAGGGACATACCCAAAGCCTCCTGTAGACCCTGGACCACCTGTCTGACCACTTCATCTGATGGAGGCAACAAATCTGGGTACAGGGGTGCCTGGAAGGAAGAAAGTGCATCTGTGAAACATACTTCCTCACATTCTGAATTAATATGTGTTGGAGCAAGCTATTCATTCTGGATTTCAATTTTCGGAATTTGCTCAAAAATATAAATATGTGTATATGGATCATTATTAAAACATGGGGTGCAGATTCAATGTTGTCATAGCTTATATTTAACCCCCAATTCTTCCTCTATAAGCAATTACACCCATTTATTAGGTAAATCTTGCTAGTGCCAAGAAAATATCCCCCACACCATTACACCACACCACCAGCCTGAACTGTTGATACAAGGTAAGATGGATCCATGCTTTTATGTTGTTTACACCAAATTCTGACCCTACCATCTGAATGTTGCAGCAACCAGTCAGCCCATTCTCCTCTGACCTCTAACATCAACAAGGCCTTTGGCTCCACACAACTACCACTCACTGGATATTTTCTATTTTTTGGACCATTCTCTGTAAACCTACAGATGGTTGTGCATGAAAATCCCAGTAGTTCTGCAGTTTTTTTAAATACTCAGACCAATCCGTCTGGTACAACAACCATGCCACATTCAAAGTCACTTAAATCCCCTTTCTTCCCCATTCTGATGGCCGGTTTGAACCTCAGCAAGTTGTCTTCACCACGTGTACATGCCTAAATGCATTGGGTTGCTGCCATGTGATTGGCTGATGAACAAATTTGTGTTATCAAGTAATTGAACAGGTGTACCTAAAACAGTGTCTGGTGAGTGTATATCAATTAGAAATGAGAAAAGGAACAAGAGAAAAAACAGAACTAAACCAACTTTTCAGATAGTACCCTCTATATTACTCTGATCTGTTATTGTGGATAGTTTACAGGATATGTTATATATTAAAATATAAGTCAATACTGTAGTCAGATGTCATTTTCAGATATTCTACTTTTCTACGCAAACAGGGAAAACCAGATTTTATTTCACCTGGCCACAGGCTCAAGCATTCTTTAAGAGTTTTTAGGTTGCTTCATAGCTAGCCTGGAGAAAAAATTTGTGTATCAAAGACACAGCAAGCACACTCCCTACACTACACTGTATTTTCTCATTTCTATGCTGCTGTTTTGAATACGTCACTTAACTATGTATACATATGATACTTTTGTACAGTACAAGACTTATTGGACACCTTTCCAAATCATTGGATTAGGTGTTCCAATCACCTCCATGGCCACAGGTGTATAAAATCAAGCACACAGGCATGGAGATTGCTTCTACAAACATTTGTGAAAGAATGGGTCGCTCTCAAGTGCTCAGTGAGTTCAAGCGTGGTCAGCGCACGCTGAAGCGCACAGTGCGCAGAGGTCGCAACTGTCTGCACAGTCAATAGCTAAACACCTCCAAACTTTGTGTGGCCTTCAGAATAGCACAATTACAGTGTGTAGAGAGCTTCATGGAATGGGTTTCCATGGCCTAGCAGCTGCACCCAAGCCTTACATCACCAAGTGCAATACAAAGCGTCGGATGCAGTGGTGTAAAGCACGCCGCCACTGGATTCTACAGCAGTGGAGATGTGTTCTCTGGAGTGATGAATCACGCCTTTCTGTCTGATGGACGTGTCTGGGTTTGGCAGTGGCCAAGAGAACGGTACTTGCCTGACTGCGTTGTACCAAGGATAAAGCTTGGTGGGGGGGGGGGGGGGGGGGGGGGGGGGGGGGGGGGGAGTATGGCGTGGGGTTGTTTTTCAGGGGTCATGCTTGGCCCCTTAGTTCCAGTGAAGGGAACTCTTAAGGTGCCAGTATACCAAGACATTTTGGACAATTTAATGATCCCAGCTTTGTGGGAACAGTTTGGGGATGGCCCCTTCCTGTTCCAACATGACTGCGCACCAGTGCACAAAGCTCGATCCATAAAGACACAAATGAGCGAGTTTGGGATGGAGGAACTTGGAGCGGAAACTGAAAGCCAGACCTTCTCATCTGACATCAGTGCCTGACCTCACAAATGCGCTTCTGGAAGAATGGTCAAACATTCCCATAGAGACCCTCCTAAACTTTTGGACAGCCTTCCCAGAAGAGCTGAAACTGTTATAGCTGCAAAGGGTGGAGCAACTCAATATTGAACCCTATTGACTAAGACTGGGATGCCATTAAAATTTATTTGTGTGTGTAAAGGCAGGTATCCCAATACTTTTGGCAATATAGTGTATATTTATATATAAAAATAAAAAAAACACTACGTGATTTGCAGGTGTGAAAGTGACAACATGTTTCACGTTGAAAGCAGAAGTGTAACATTCTTTTGCTTCCGCTGTGTGATGAGACACCTAGCTAACAGTGGGAAGCCTCACTTTTGTCATTCACTGTGTGCGCTGCTAGTAATATGGAGTCATGTCAGAGCTTACTGAGCTTCAAAGAGGGAAAATTGTTGATGCCTACTTAGCTGGGGCCTATGTGATTGAAGTTGCTAGATTATCTGCAGTGTTGAAAGGTACAGTATCACAAAAGGTTATGACAGCACTTAGAAATTCTGGGAAAACGCCGTCTGATAACCAAAAGCAAGTTAGGGCTCTTTTTCTGCCTCTGGCATCTCTGCGAGAACTGGAATGATTTTTGCATGAAGAATGGTATTAGATTCCATCATCCACCATCCAAGACTTATATTTGTCAATTCCCAGGGGAATTCAGGCTGTATTGGATGCCAAAGGAGGTCCAACACCATATTAGGTAACTATTTTCTTTTACCTGGTTTCCATAATTTTGTCCAACCCCTCTATAATGGTCATTGGGGTTTGGTAGTCTGGCTCACTGAATCAGTTTAAGCATCCCTGTGCTCTTTCTTATGCTATACATTTGCTTGTCACTAGGTGTGCGAGACACATCTTTGATTATTTCTTAAGAAACAATTCTGGTACTGCCTTGGGGGTCCCAACTTAGCTGGACATGTCAGGGACAGATGAAGAAAAAACCTCCAAGGGGACACGATTCTCCCCTTACAATGCTCAGTGCACCTTAACAGATTCAGGCTATAGTAGGAAGTACTTCCAGACCTCCAACTTCCTTCCCTATCATGTAGCTTACAGGAGTTCTCCAGAAAATAGTATCAGAGCTGCATTATTTTGTGTCTTTTATATCTGTCCAGCTTTATTACAAAAACAAACATATAAAAGCGTGTATCTAAATATGTGAAAGTCATATAAAAAGTTAAACAATGCCTTAAAATAATTATAATAAAAAAATAAGTTCTCACTGAATATGCAATAATTTTACCATCTTTTGGAGCACTTCCCCTTACAACCAATAAGTCTCTGAATGGCTGATATCACATAAGGGGTCAGTCCTTATATTTCTGGAGGAAGTAGGAAGATATAAGGCACTGAACATGATGCCTCTGTAAAGCTGGCCATACACTGAGCGAATTTCAGCCAGTTCTTAATGAACCAGTCAGAATTCACTTTGTGGTTGACTCTGCTGGAACCTTCCCGCCCGACATCTTTCAAAGCAAAATCGAAGGAGCTGGGCAGAAAATTGTCAGATGCAACTGCTGTTGGGTATTCTGACAGCCGCAGGTGCTGGCCGTCATAAAACAGTAGTCAACACTGCAGTTTCATCCATCCACACTGTACAGAGATAAATGAATTGTGCAATAAACTCACCTGAGAGAGGTGAGAACAAGATTCTGCTTTGGAGACATCATGACTGTTGAAGAAGATGGTCTTCTGATCTGAAATGAGAAAACATGAAAGACTAGGAGTGAAATAAATGAACATATCAGAACTGCAAAGACCTACTACATCACTTTCTTCTGATACCAAGGTGTTTTCCAACAATACGAAAGAAGTGGATCGAAAGCTGACCAAGTGACCATACACTCAAACATTTTTTTCATTCAGTCTGCTTCCTGAGCAAAAAAGGAATCTAACTGATTCCTCCATTCATACTAAACAGTGTAGAGGGATGATTCTCTCCTGCTGACTATTGTTTTCTTACAGCCAACACCCAACTGTCAGAATACCTGAACAGTGGTTTGCATCAGGTTGGTTGCTGTCATTTTTTAGGCAACAATTTTCCACTTGGTTCCTTCTCTTTTCAAAATTTACTGAGCCGGTAAGTGTCAGCAGGGCCACCCATGGATCGAATTTTGCCCAGTGTAGCAGAAAACTGGCAGTTTGTATATGACCAACCTAACACTTTGCAGTTTACAAGTAATTAAGCTATAAAGAGATTATATGTATGTGTTCTTATCTGCAGCCTTGGTATCGTCTAATTTTATCTACAAATGTTCTGTAGCTAGAAAAGTCAGTAAAAAACAAAAATACTTATGCAGGCCATAGATGGGTTGAAAATCATGGGCTGAAAAAAAAAAATCGGCCGATTTTCGCACCGTTAATGGGTTAATTGGTCGGCCGTTTTTCTGTATTTTGTCAGATTTTTTTGATCGGTACCGTTGGAAAAAAAAGATTTTTGCGGCAATAATGGGCAAATCGGTCGATCTTTTTACCGATAAAAAAAATCTGCGCATGAGCCGTGACCTGCAAGAAAAAGAAGAGAAAGAAGAAAAAGAAGAGGAAGGAGAGAGAAAGAAGAAAAAGAAGAGGAAAGAAGAGAGAGAGAAGAAGAAGAGAAAGAAGAAGAAGAGAAAGAAGAGGAAGAGGAAGAAGAAGAAGAGAAAGAAGAGAAAGAAGAGGAAGAGAAAGAAGAAGAAGAAGACAAAGAAGAGGAAGAAGAAGAAGAGGAAGAAGAAGAAGAAAGAAGAAGAAGAAGAAGAAGAAGAGAAAGAAGAGAAAGAAGAAGAGAAAGAAGAAGAGAAAGAAAGAAGAGAAAGAAGAAGAGAAAGAAGAGAAATAAGAAGAAGGAGGAGAAGAAGAAGAGAGAAGAAGAAGAGAGAAGAAGAGAAGAAGAGAAAGAAGAGAAAGAGGAAGAAGAGAAACAAGAAGAAGAAGAAGAGGAAGAAGAGAAAGAAGAGAAAGAGGAAGAAGAGAAAAAAGAAGAAGAAGAAGAGAAGAAGAGAAAGTAGAAAAAGAGAAAGAAGAGAAAGAAGAAGAGAAAGAAGAATTCCAGTCCGCTATTATATTTGACATTAAAAAGTATTGCAGTTGCAACAATGTATCTATTTGCATCCGAAAAAACCATCTGTATCCGAAATGGATACAAATAGATACAATGTTGCAAACGCAATACTTTTTAATGTCCATACACAGAAATTTAACAGATTCCTCCATCCGTAATAGACAGTAGTTGGATGATCTCCCGCTGAAGCTTTGGCTGCCAGCTGTCAATATACTAGTACAGTACTAGTATTGCAACATACTAGTACTGCAACTCCCTCCTCACTGGCCTGCCTCGCCACAGGCTATCCCCGCTTCAGTCAATCTTGAATACGGCAGCCAGACTCATCCACCTTACCAACCGCTCTGTTTCTGCCAAATCCCTCTGCCAATCCCTCCACTGGCTTCCGATTGCCCAACGGATCAAATTCAAAATCCTAACACTGATGTACAAAGCTGTCCACCACACTGCCCCAAACTACATCACTGACCTAATATCCAAGTACCACCCATCACGCACTCTCCGCTCCCCACAAGACCTCCTTCTCTCTAGTTCCCTGGTCTCCTCCTCCCATGCCCGCCTCCAGGACTTCTCCAGGGCGTCACCCATACTCTGCAACTCTCTACCCCAATCCATCAGACTATCACCTCCACTCCTCTCCTTTAGGCGCACCCTGAAAACCCACCTCTTCAGGGAAGCCTACCCCACCCCCTGCTAATCGCCGATCTCCTCCACTCTTCCAACCACTCCATCCCCCACAGCTATTTCCTCCTGTACCACTATCCCCTCCCTCCTAGATTGTAAGCTCCAAGGAGCAGGGCCCTCGAACCCCTCGCGTATTGCACTGTATTGTTATTGTACTGTCGCATGTTCTTTCTCCCATTGTAATGTACAGCGCTGAGCGAACTGTTGGCGCTTTATAAATACTGTATAAAAATATAATAATACAGTGCATGCATCTGAATAGATTCATGTACTGTTCAGCCGACAATGTTCTGCCAAGCTCCTTCCATTTTTTCACCTGAAGGATGTTGGGTGGATCATGGATGGGTATCGACAGGGCCACCAATGTAACGACTTTAGGTGAGTTCATCAGGAACAGTGTATGTTCAGCTTAGGAGGTAACATATATCAGGAATACCTGAATTTTGCTGAAGATGGCATTGGAATATTTGAATTAGAAAGAAGCTCAAGATGGTGTTGCATACGTCTACAGCTAAGGCTGAAAGCCTCTTTCTCGACGCTGTCACAGACCTGTCTCTCCCAGGGGAAAATCACGTATGGATGGTCTCTTCACCACAAAATGCTGTGATCCCACCACAAACACCTTGTACAGGGTGGCGCTGTGGTTGATGAAGCTTTGAAGAAGACATGGGGGGGTTACCTCCTTCAACCCTTGCTCGTTAAATATCAGGGACATCTGTGTAAGAAGGAAGTAGAACAGTTAGAAAAAAGCATGGAGATATATGGATGTTTACCTTATATGAGAGATCAGGGTTGTGACTCTATATCTAATGTGGTTTGGGTCGCATCAAGCTGAAAGGCTTTTGTAGATTTGGCTGTTTCCAAAAACAAACAATGAAAACTGGTATATAAGTTATAATGTTCCTTATCGCTTATGATTATTGACCCATTCAGAGTATACCCATTACAAGAGAATTATGACAGCTGTCACAGCTGACCTTCCTTTCAAAAAATGTACATTTATTGGCTGTCATTCTGATACTTTACATTTGCAATGTAAGATATAACTTGATTTCCTTTCCACCCTAAACTCAAGGATGGATAATTCTTTCCTGATGGCTACAGTTTTTTGACAGCCAGCATCCATTGCTGTCAGAATACTTGAACTTTGGCCATGTCTGTTTAGATGCATCTGCTGTTTGGCTAGCTCAGCTCCTTCAATTTTCAGATGGAAGGATGCAAGGAGGGAAAGGGCTCATAGGGTCACCCACGGTTTAGTAGGAACTGGCCAAAATTTGTTCCATTAATGGCCAGCTTTACAATATTACACATAGGTTGCTGTCAACCCTGGCCAAAAGATGGCAGGTCCCAACATACAGTCAGCTTATTCAAGGCGACATGCCTGTCAAATACTGGCTATTCTATGGAAACTCAAAGACCCTTGGCTTAAAGTGATACTTAAGGCTCTTTTTTTTTTTTAGCTAGATTGAAAAAAGAGGTTTATACGTAACTGCCTTGTGCAATGGTAATTCACAGAGGCCCCCTTGCCTCCTCTTCTGGGGTCCCCAGCCAGCACTGTCTGCTCCTCCTCTCCTTAGTGTGCCCCCATAGCAAGCTGTGTGCTTTGGGGGCACACATGTGGGTGTGCTCCTGAGTGGGGCTGTGTGCATCTATAGACACACACAGTGCGTCTTGGTCCCCCTTCTGTTCAATCCTCACTGAAATTAATTAACAGCAACAGGAGCCAATGGCTCTGTAAAAGCCTCCCTTGTGTAGACATCTGAAAGGCCTGAGACTGCTGCTGGGTACAGCCATCTTGGATGTGATGTAATCTAGATTCAGCAGACTCATAGCTGTCAGTCAAATGACACTTTATAGCAGCCTTTCTCAAACAGGTTCCTAGAGAGGTTGCTGGGGGTTTCCTGAGCAATGAGCAGCTCCTGCCTCTCAGATGAGTAATCACTGACTCCAATGATCTTTTTAGTAATCTGTAAGGGGCAGATTCTTCCCAAAGATAACAAATGTAAGGAGCATTCTTCCCACTGACAATCACACTAATGTACTATGATGGGTAGATACAGTAGTTATTAGAAGACCTCTAAACAAAAGGTTATGTAGGGAGGAAAAGGGAGGGGTGGAGGAGCTGGGTCAGCACAAACAGTAATTAAAAACTCTCAGAAGAGGAAAAGGCTATGACATGCAAGGGGGAGAGGGGACTGTGTTAGGGAATTCAGACTTCCTGAAGACGTTGAATTAACTAGCAAGTTTAACCACTTGCCTTCCAGAGTATTTACCCCCCCCCCCCCCCCTTCCTGACCAGGCCATTTTTTGTGATACAGCGCTGCGTTACTTTAACTGACAATTGCGTGGTCATGCAACGCTGCTCCCAAATGAAATTTACATTCTTTTTTCCCACGAATAGAGCTTTCTTTGGTATTTGATCGCCTGTGCGGTTTTTATTTTTTGTGTTATAAACAAAGAAAGACTGACAATTTTGAAAAAAAAAACACAATATTTTTTAGTTCTTCTATAAAACATATCCAGTGAAAAAATTTAAAAATCAAATAAATGTAGGCCAAAATGTATTCTGCTACATGTCTTTGCTAAAAAAAAATCCAATATGTGTATATTAATTGGTTTACATGAAAGTTATAACATTTACAAATAGTGGTATATATACTAGAATTAAATTTTTTTTTTATTCATACTAGTAATGGCAGTGATCAACGACTTATAGCGGGACTGCAGGACTGTGGTGGGCACTCTGACACTGGGGGAAACTGACTAACTGCCACAGACATCCCCAGTGACACCAATACAGTGATTAGTGCCAATAAAAAGCACTGACACTGTACTAACGACACTGGGTGGGGTTAACAACTGGGCCGATCAAAGGGTTAACTGTGTGCTGTGTGTGTTTTGCTAGGGAAACATGCTACTGTGTATTTCTCTGCTGTGCACAGTGGCTTGTTACTGCTGGCAAGAGAGAGACCTGTGTTGTTTACACACAGGTCTTTCACCTGTCACTGTTTCTCGGCGATCGCTGGGTGCCGACGGGGAATCTCTGGCCGGGACACGGTGATCAACATCTGTAGTGGCCAATGGCGGCGTGGGTAGGGCGGTTGAGTTTGGCCCCTTAGTTCCAGTGAACGGAAGTCTTAAGGCATCAGCATACAAGACATTTTGGAGCTCCCGATTTTGTGGGAACAGTTTGGGGATGGACCCTTCCTGTTCCAACATGACTGCGCACCAGTGCACAAAGCAAGGTCCATAAAGACATGGATGAGTGAGTTTGGGGTGAAGGAATTTGACTGGCCTGCACAGAGTCCTGACCTCAACCCGATAGAACACCTTTGGGAGGAAATAGAGCGGAGACTGCGATCCAGACCTTCTCGTCCGACATCAGTGCCTGACCTCCCAAATGCACTTCTGGAAGAATGGTCAAACATTCCCATAGACACACTCCTAAACCTTGTGGACAACCTTCCCAGAAGACTTGAAGCTGTTATAGCTGCAAAGGCGGGCCGACTCAAAATTGAACCCTACGGACTAAGACTGGGATGCCATTAAAGTTCATGTGCGTGTAAAGGCAGGGTCCGAATAGTTTTGACAATACAGTATATATATATATATATATATATATATATCATTCCCATCAGTCTCTAACCTTTAAGGAGCGTACATTCTAAGCTCCCTAACTTACATTCATTCATACACAATTTAGGCAGGAGTCAATTAACCTATCAGCATGTCTCTGGCAGTGCTGGGACAAGGTCATCTAGAGCTCAGAGCAAACATAACAAACTGGACCCACCCCAAAATGTATGAACATAATATGTCAGCAAAAATCCCTCCCAAATAACTGAGCACAAATCTGCATGCTTACCCCTTAAGCACAAATCTGCCCCCCTACTGAAATCCCCCCTTCCAGTACAAATCTTTGCCCCTCCATCACCCCCAGCTCAAATGCCTCCCCTCCAAATAAAAAGAAATCACCTCTCCTAGCACAGATCTTCTACCCCTAAAGGTTCCCCTCCTAATACACATCTTCTTCCCCCCATCACAAATCCCCCCTCTTGGCCTACCCCCCAATTTTCCCCTACTAGAACAATACTCACCCCCTGCCATCCCCCTTTCCAACACAACTCCCCTCCCCCGCAATCTCCTTGTGATGCCCCCCCCCTTACCTCACATGATACAACAGTGCCCAGGGCAGCTGTCCCTCTTACCCACCCCTTGTCTTTAGAGTGTGGGAGGAAACCCCCACAGGCACAGGGAGAACATGCAAACTCCAGGCAGGTAGTGTCATGGTTGGGATTTGAACCAGCAACCCGAGTGCTGCCAGGCAGAAGTGCTAACCATTTAGCCACTGTGCTGCCCTACATCATGGCAGGCTGCTGGTCATTAAGCACCAATATATTTATGAAATTTCACACCTGCATTGATGTCATCTGACCTGCAACCTTCTAGAATATACCAGGAGACTGTGGGCAGCTGAGGGAACCTCACTCTTGACTAATCTAGCAATTAGAAAGTGGGAGGGTGGAGGAGAAAAAATAAGAGAGACAGATGGGAGAAAGGAATGAGAGAAAGTGCAAAGGTCTGCTTCAAGTAGAAGTAGACATGAAAAGATTGTTCATCTGACAAAAAATTATAGATCAACAGACTGATGTATTTTTTTTTGGAGATGTTCGTCTAGCAAAGAACCTTTGTATGAATTGCCTTTGTTGGACAACTGAACATTCTGTGCTGAAATCTACCTGTTTCTTGAGAACGTTATCTCATGCCTACAGGTAGGCTGAGCATTCCTATAAAAAGGGAGTCTTAAGGGAATTCAGAGACAAGACAAAAACAAATATAAAACAAGACTGACAACTTTCAAGTATGTGAAGAAGCAGTCAAGGACAACAATTCCCACCTCATGCGATCGCGGTCCATGAGCCACACGAGTTTTGCAAACTGCATGGGAGAAAACAACCACAGTCATTTTTAGATCATTGAAAAAACAAGTAGAAACTATTTCTACCACTAGTTTGTAAACATGAAATTTTAAATCCATTTCTGTAGTAAGGTCACCAATATCAACCATTCTCTAATACGGCTAGTATTATATGAATAATGTATGACGGCTTGGTGGGCAGCAAAGATCAGCATGAAGCTGAGGGACATATGTCTAGGCCATCACCAGCTTGAGGAACAGTTTGGATGCCAAGGACAGAGATTTCTATGGCAATGCCACACAGATGGATGTTTCCTGGCAACTTCAATAACTTTCAGCCAGCTTTCTATCACAAAATCAACTGAATAGATGATGGCAAACTGCCAATTTTTAGATTATTCCTGACTGATTGATCAACCACCTATTATACAATTTGTGTTGCTTTACTGCTTGATCCCGCACTTACAAAACAGCTTTTGCAGCTTTGCTGCTCTCTGCTATACTGCTAATATGGAACCAAGCTTACCTGGCATCCGTGGAAAGAGTAGTGTTTTAGAGGTGGGACACAGGGTGGATCTGACGGAACCCAAGAGCAGGTCCTGTCAGCTGATGAGCGGACTCTGTGCCTCCAGCACTAACAGTCTCCTAACAGGGGATCCTGGAGAACCTTTGTCAGCACTCAAATTTTAGCCGCTATAAAAACTGTTCTAGGCTAGCCAAAAGGCCCACCCAAGAAGTCTGTGCAAGTAAAGCAATAAGTGATGTGACCAAGTGCCAGTGAAACTCAGTGGGGTCCCAAACCCATAGTGTTTTTTTTGGCACCTCTGGGATGCCACTTCTAGGGGACACACCACCGGGAGCTCCTTGTACCTCTCATCTGCTGACCAGACAGGCAGCCCCATCCCTACCAGAAATGCATTAGCACTTAGAAAGAGCCTGCCTAAAATTGGAAACAAGCCTGATGCACGAAGACAGAATCACCCTGGTAGGAAAGGATCACTCCCCTAGTACCTACCTTATTACATCAATAATTCCTAACTGGTGCCCCCTCTCAAGCTCTGAGGAAGACAGCGTTCAGTTCCTGAAAACCGATAAGAACAAATACTCCACTTGAACTTAACCTAAAAGGTCAAGAAGCAAGATAGCCATTTTACTGATATTGAAACAATGGACCATGCCCATATAATGTGTGTCAGTTTGACTTCTTGTAGGTTGCACCATTGGATAGAGTGGAGGAGAGTTTGGTGAACATCTGCTCAGTGATCTCCCCTTTTTTAGAACCCAGAAGTGATGTGTAAAATGTCACTTCCAATTTTTAGTGTCGCTTTCTCCGGCCAGTCTGGCCAGGGAAGAAGCTAATACAGCGTGAGCTGTGCTTTGTTAGCTTCAATGAAGGACAGGTGAAACATCAGGGGTCTATTAGACCCCTAATGTCTCACTATAGAGAACCTGTCACCAAAAAAAAAAAAAAAAATCAAAAAGGAGACTTTCTGCTGTAAAAAAATTAAAGCTTAAGAAATAAAGTGTCAAAATAAAGTTATACCCAGGTACTTAAACATCCCTCAGAAAATGTTTTTGTCCCAGCCCCACATACAGGCACATACGATTGTAAACACATGCTTTGGGAGTATCTACACATGAAAATTGCACTACATGTGTTACATATCACTGCACACACCAGAGTGAGAGCAATAATCATAGGCCCAGTATTTATTATTGACTCTAAGGCTAGGTTCACATCCACCCGCACTGGAAAACGCAACCGTACTGGTTACTGAGTTCCCGTGCAGGCTGCGTTTTCAGAAGTAGTGCAGGGATTTCTTCCCTGCGTGTCACGAGGCAACGGAGTCCATTCAAATGAATGGGCTCTCATGTCCGCACAAAACGTGGCCCGCACGGCCGCATATATGTGAACCACAGGTAAACTGATGACCTTTATGAGCTTTTAAAGCAGTTAAAGCGAATTTAGGGTCCCAAAGTCTGTCTCTCTTTCACTGGCACATACAATTTTAGGGTTTGTCAAGTTGGGTATTTACTTGGCACAAGCTCATCTTTTATATTTAACCAAAAATTGGGTAATATATTGCGTTTGTGTGCCCTAAAATGAACTTTAAATGTCTTACTGAAATTCTGCGCTTGATAAACCATTGCTCTAATATTGTGTGACATAAAAATCTGAAACTACAACTATTTATTATTATTTAGGATCTCTGCTTTCAGAAAATGTGTAACTTTTTGACATGTCACCTTTGAACAGTTGGGTTAATGCTTGAAATGTGGCAATGCAGTAGGAGATAAACACAAAATATCCCTTTAGAAATTTAGGGTCTTTGCTTTCAGAAAATGTATAACTTTTTGGTTGGTTTGAAGTCATCTTCAGGCCTAAAATGATTTTTTTAAACATGTGTGCAAAAAAAGAAAAACGCAAAAAAAAAAGGCTCAGGCAGCGAAAGGGTTAAAGAGAAAATGACATGTCACCTTTGAACAGTTGGGTTAATGCATGGAATGCGGCAATGCAGTAGAAGCTAAACACAAAATATCCCTTTACAGCCTGCTGTGACTGCCTTGGCCTGTCTGATGCGCAAAGCTTGTCTGAGCTGAGCAGTTGGATGTCCTGGCTGTTATAGTATCTGGCAGCCTGTGGGTGCATGTAGGTGCCAGTCTCCTCCCTGCTTTAATGGCCTCTTATCTCTATTGAGGGTGGAGAGTGTATCTATCACACTCAGGGCAAAGTTCTTGGGGAGTGTCAGCGGGAGGGGGTCATTGTGTGCAGGATACATTGTACAAGCATGAGCGCCTGTATACTTATGTCACTGGGCTCTATGGGTGTCATTTTGTTTGTGTTAGTAGCACGTAGCTCCAGATCCTCTGCTGAATGTGGATCAGTACACACTGCGGGGTTTCCAGGTAGCTGTCATTACTTGGATAGTTTCTACAGCTTGGACAGATCTAGGGTTGCCACCTTATCCCTTTATTATTATTATTATTATTATATAGGATTTATATAGCGCCAACAGTTTGCGCAGCGCTTTACAATATAAGGGAGACAGTACAATTACAATACATTTCAGTACAGAAGGAATAGGAGGGCCCGGCTCGTGGAGCTTACAATCTAAAGGAAGGAAGAGGTGGTACAAAAGGTGATAGCTGCAGGGGATGATCTGGTGGAGGTGATTCAAGTACAGTTCTTAGGTGGAGGTGGAGTAGGCTTCCCTGATTAAGCGAGTTTTCAAAGATCACCTAAAGGCAGACAGGGTGGGGGCTGACCGGACATGGTGTGGTAGGGAGTTCCAGAGGATGGGAGAGTCTCTGGAGAAGTCCTGGAGGTGAGCTTGGGAGGAGGTAACATGATAAATGGAGAGCAAGTGGTCTTGGGTGGAGTCGAGAGGATGGTTTTGGAGGAGGTGATGAGTTAGCTAGAGAGGAAGATGTCTTGTTCCATACAGGGGCGGACTGACCATTTGGAAACTCGGGCATTGCCCGAGGGCCCGGGGTCAGTAGGGGGCCCCATGAGATGCCCCTGGTATCTTTTTCATAGGCTTTTTTGAGTTTGGGCAAGGACACAGAGGCCCCATGATCCCCTATTGCCTGGGGGCCCCATGAGTTGTCAGTCTGCCGCTGGTTCCATATTAATTACTTAATTACACAGGTTCTGAGGCCAATTTAATGCAGATAAATCACTAGGTGAGTTTAATTGCCACCTAAATCAGCCACAGAACCTGTGTAATTAATATGTGTTGTGTTTTAAAGGGATGAGGTGGCAACCATAGACAGGTCCCTATCACAATATGATAATGACAATGTTGTCACTGGTACACCCACTTAGTACAGGTCCATTATATTATTATTATTATACAGGATTTATATAGCACCAACAGTTTGCGCAGCGCTTTACAAAATGAATGACCAGTTCTACAGTTCAGTGACACTTGGCAAACTTTGAGAACTATACACAGTATGTCAAGCATTAGAGGTGCAACTGTGACTAAAGCTGGCCATACAAAAACAAAAAAAAATCTGATTCCTCCATCCATGCTATACAGCCAGGATGGACAAATCTCCTGCTGTGCCTATTGTATTTTGACAGCCAGGCCCGCCAGCAGTCAAACTACCTGCACCACAGCTGCATCCGAGTGGATTTCACACCCACCTCCTTTAATTTTTTTAATCAAAGAATGTCGGGATGGAGGGGGTGACAGTCAGTTTCTTCTGGTTCAGCAGGAACTTGGCTGAAACTTGCATAGTGTATTACCAACCTAAAGTGGAAATAAAGTCCAGCTTTCAAAAAATCTGAGCAGGCAGGTTCTTTATTACAAAAGTGACATGCTATGCCTCTTCTGCGATAAAGGAAACACACACCCAGCTGTTCACAGTCTTCTTTGGAAAGTACATTCAGCAAGAGCATCTCATGCTAGTTTCTGGCATTGCTGTTCAGGATGTCCCTCTTAGAAGACGGTGGTACAGTGGAAATTCTCTTTTCCAGCACCTGCCTGTAGGTAGGCCTCTTCCCTGGGCCCCCTCCCAGGCTCCACACTCCAGCCTTCACTCCATCTTCCACACGACGCTCACTCACTCCCTAGGATCTGTCATACTTAAGGGTTGCCTTGGTCACCATGCCCAGCTTCCTGCCATGGGATTGGCCAGTGTCCCTCAAATATGCAGATCTGAGCCTCCTCCCCTTCTCCATCCTTCCTCCAGAAAGCACCCAGGCTTCTGGAGAGGCAGCAGGGCTCCAGAAGCTCTGACCTTCAGAACCTCCCTAGCCTGTACTGAGGTGACCTCTCTACCTCACTCCCAGTCTGACTCATCCCAGGCTGCTAATCAGCCTCTGCCTGAAAAAACAAAAACCCAGCCTATCTAGCTAACCTGGAGGGCGTTACATCAGTTTGCTACAGATAAGAAAATTCTAATACGACAAAATACAACTTCGAAAGCAATGTAATGTAATGTATTTGTCAGGAATGGACTCGCCAATAGTGGTGGGACTCACCTGCCTTGTGGGTTGCAGTACCAGGACTGGCCAGCGGGTGCTCTCAGCAACCAGAGGCTCACTCCTGCAGTCAGCCAAAACACCTGAGGCTGACTGCAGAAGGTGCATATAAGGAATGACCAGGCCTGTGATCTGGGCCTTGGTGTATGTTTCCCAAGAGCCCCTTTACCTGCATCCTGTCTGCTTCCTGTCTGATCCTGCTTGATCCCTGACTCTGATTTAACTCCGCCTGTCCTGACCTCTGCTGTTCCTGACCACTCTCCAGTCTGCTCCTTTGTACCTTGTCTGCCTGATTGTTCCTGACCTGGCCCATCTGACTACGCTCTGCCTGCTCCTTTGTACCTTGCCTGCCCGTTTGCTACCGACCCGGCCTGCCCGACTACGCTTAGTATTGTTCTTTTGTTATCTGTTGGGGGTTTTGGTTTGGTTTGTTTGCACTGTGTTTATGTTTAGTCTTGCACTGCGTTTATGTATTGTTTTGTCTTAAATAAATTATATTGTTTATACTATACCTGAAGCCTGCGTTTCCCTGTGTCAGTCCACACACCTCTGGTCATACCTGGAGCCCTGACATTATTGAATTGTAATTTGTCCGATTTTCTGATCTTGTGTACTAGGTATTACTAAAGCTGACCATACACATATACTGTAGATTTGTAACAGATTCCTCCATCTACACTAAACAGCACAGATGGATGAATCCTCCCTGAATGGACACCACCAACTGTCAGAATACACAAACAGTCCCTGCTTCTGACTGCTTAGCCAACGATTTTTGGGCAGGCTCCTTTAGCAAAAATGAATTGAACAATTAAGTTTTGCCCAGTGGAGCAGTGCTGGCAGGCCATACAATGCTCATGTTTTGGCCAAGACAGCAGGAGATGGCCAAAATTCGAGCACTATGGCCAGCTTAAGTTTATCTCAGCAGTCATTAGGCAATGATGCTAATAATCTTCCTTGACAGACAGATGACTACGAGTAAACATTTACAAATCTGCATACGAAGTATAAGAAACAGAACAGCAACTGAGTAAAAATGTAAATGTAATATTTTAAAAAGTGTTCTTGCTGAAAATATGCTATAGAGTCCCTTCATTTTGACAATAGTATTTATAGGCCAACTCAGTAGAATTCATTTTTTGACTCCAAAATGAGAAATGCATATGAAGTGGAAATGGAACAAATCTGAGTAGGATGTGTGGGATGGTTCTAAACATTGATGTCTGATGCTGATATGCTGGAAAAATGCATAAAGTGTGGACAGGATGTCACATTGAGTGTGGAAGAGGATTTAACACCATACAGCCCCACAGATTAAAAAAAAGGCAGTAAGTAGATGTACATACTGATAGGGAAGGTGAGGTTGGCTCGCACTAACGTCACAACATCACTGCGTTTGGTTATCAGCTCCACACAAGGAGGGGAGAACACGCCGCTCACCCCTGCAGGACATAAAACATGCAAACATGTATTTAGTTCAAAAACAGAACATCAGCTACATTACCCGGCACATCAATTAAAGTAGTAATAAACCTTCAGTGTTTTTAGTTTAACACACTGAGCACAATTAATTAAATATTTCCCAGTGAACTATTTGTTATAATTCTCACCCTAGTTACAGTTTACAGATTTCAATGCTGCTACCTCCTGCTGTTTCAGGGCTGCTTCCCTAAACCTCCGGTCTTAGTTACATAGCTAGTCTGGCTGAAAAAAGACAAAAGTCCATCCAGTTCAACCATTAAAAAAAAAAAAAGTTATAATCCTATACCCACAGTTGATCCAGAGGAAGGCAAAAAACCCAGCAAAGCATGATCCAATTTGCTCCTGGAAGGAAACAAATTCCTTCCTGATCCCCCAAGAGGCAATCGGATGTTTCCTGGATCAACTTTGCCTATAAATGTTAGTATCCAGTTATATTCTGTGTATCTAAGAAAGAATCCAGGCCTATTTTAAAGCAATCCACTGAGCTGGCCAGAACCAACTCTTGAGGGAGTCTAATCCACATTTTCACAGCTCTTACTGTGACAGAACCTTTCCGTGTTTGCAGATTAAATTTCTTTTCCTCCAGACGTAAAGAGTGCCCCTTTGTCCTCTGTGATGACTTTAGGGTGAATAACTCTACACCAGGGGCGACTGACAACTCATGGGGCCCTGACCCTCGGGCAGTGCCCCCTTGTCCTCTGTGATGACCTCAGGGTGAATAGCTCTACACCGAGTTCACTATATGAACCACTGATGTATTTATACATGTTGATCATATCCCCTTTAATCTCCTCTTCTCAGGAGAGAATACATTCAGTTCATCTAATCTTTCCTCATAGCCGAGTTCCTCCATGCCTGTTATCGGTTTGGTTTCCCTTCTCTGTACTTTCTCCAGTTCCCCAATGTTCTTTATGTGAATTGGTGCCCAAAACTCTTCAAAGGGAATGGTTAACAGTGGGTGGTGCAGTCTCCAGTTAGTCTGTTAATTTGGAGAACGGAGGGTGGAGTTGCAGGGGAGTGCCTTGCCATTCTAGACTACTGGGCTGTGTGTTTCCATTGACGCACACAGTGAAGGAAGACACAAGTCTAGTCCCTGCATGCAAGGGTAGCTCCATTGGATGCTACAAGAGAAAGGAGCCACCCTGAAAAAGGAAACCTGAGGCAGCAGTCATGGCATCAACGTAAAGTGGAACATAGACAAGGATTAAAATATAAAAAATCTGCATACTCAGTACCTAATTAAATCAGCTGCTAGCAGTGCTTAAAAAACTGAGAGTTTAATATCACTTTAAGGACAACTATAACACATTCTGTTAAAACAGTAATAAAATATCATGGAGTCCTTATAATACTACTTATCAGGTACCCGTGGAAAAGTTTAATTTTAAAGTGAAACTTTACTAACAAAAAGAAAAAAAAAAATATAGGTCAACAGGCAGGATTTTTAAATGTGGTAAAGTTCTGCTGACTTCCATCTTCCAATCATGTGCAAGCACAAATGCTGGTTTTTAAGTTTTCCTTGCATGTGATAGGATATTCTTTGCAATGTGAAGCTTCGCCTACTAAGCTCTGGAACAAATGCCCTTGCGGAGTGCAAATGCACTTGCATACTGCCCAGTCTATTTGTCTTAGGTAAATCCACCCCTGTGGATTTACTAAAAGCAAATAGACTGTGCACCTTGAGAGTGCAGTTTTACTCTGCAAGGGCATTTGCTCCAGAGCTTAGTAAATGAGGCGAAGCTTCACTTTGCTCAATCACATTCAAGGAAAATTTAAAAAAAAAGCATTTTTGCTTGCACATTATTGGATAATGGAAGTCAGTAGAGCTTCCCCTTGTTTACTAAACTTAGCTCTGTGCATCTGCACTTGCAAAGTACACAGTCCATTTGCCTTTAGTAAATACCCTCTATTGCTTAAAAGGGTGCTGGATCCTGGCTCTTCATTCTTCTGATTAGGGCCACTGATATGGGGGTAGCACCAGTCCTATACGGAGCCCAGGCCAGTAGGGGGGCCCAGGCAGCAGGGGAATCAGATATGGGCAGGCGGGGGGGTGACCGGTAAAGCAAGAGGGGCAATTAGAGGAACTGATCCCCTGGGTGTCTCTGCCTGCAGCAGCTAAAAGCTATTTTCTCCTTCTCTTCCTCCCATTGGCTTTCAGCTGCTGCAGTGAGTAAATCAGTTCCTGTAATTAAAGGAAATCGGTTCCTGTAATTAGAGGAAATCGGTTCCTGTAATTGCCCTCCCCCCCCCAACCACCGATCACCTTCCCTGTCTAAGATTTGATTCCCTCTGCTGCCTGCTAATAATGATTTTAGTGTATTCCTAATGAAAATATATTATTTAAATTTTTTTTTTTTTGGGTGGCCCTGTATGGGGCCCCGTGATTTCTAACAGCAGCCCTGTTTCTGATCTCCCATTGCGAGGAACGTAGAGGTCATTTGATTATATATAAGGAATATACAATTTAAAAAAACTTCCCTAAAAAGCAATTGCATGACGAATGAAAGTACACATCTCCCAATGTTCTGAGATAAGAAAGAGGGACACCTTCTAGAAAGAACAAAATCGAAGCAGATCACATCGTCAGCTATGCACACCATGAAGAATCCAGCAATGGATTCATGGTTAAACCAGCCTCTCAACATCTGCAACACAAAGGAACCCTTAAAATAATTTTCTGGTCTCAGGGAACCCCTGTTAACAATGACCGGATCTACAACTCAGGATGCAATAGTGTGATTGTCAGCGGGAAGAATACTCCTTATACTTGTGGTCATTGGGAAGAATTCCCCCCTTACAGATCGCTAAAAATATCAATGGTGTCAGTGGGAAGTTATCTGAGAGGCAGAAATTGCTGATTGCCCAATGACCCCCTGAGAATCTTCTGGGGAACCCTAGGGATCCATGGAACCGTGGTTAAGAAACCCTTGGTTATACCTACACATGCTTTGTTCACCATTACATTCCTTATATTGGCTTATCAAAATACCAAATGCAATTGTTTAGTGGTATAAAAGATTTAGGGCTCGTTGACAGCAGCCATCATGCTAAAACAAATTGTTTTTTTTTTTAATGTGTGGGTTGGTGTCCATTGTGTACAGCACAATACACTGTTTACTTTTTAAACTATATTGGAATGTCACAAATGGCATTTCATTCATACCTATGTAAATATTTTCTGAGGGTTCCTATACTCTTGCAACATTTCCCTGTCTTTTTCATATTATTATTATCTTTTTTTTGTTACTCAATCAGAGGTGCAGAGGTGAACCACCATAATGATTTTGGGCTGACCCAGCAATGATCTTCATACGTACAGTCTCCTTCAGGCAACATAGGGATTCCAGCCATTTCCAAGATCAATGTCAACAGTTTTATTCAAACTAATGTGATATTTTACCCAGATCTTCAATGCACCCCTGCTGCCCTCCCCTGATTACACCCTTGCCTTGATCCTGACCTTGACTGCGGGACTCCAGGCTGCGCAGGAGGTGGTAGGACTGGAAGCGGTCGAGCAGTGTGTGCAGAGCTGGAAGGGGGTCCAGGAGGATGGTAAATGGATGTGTATCTAGATAAACCTGTAAATGCCAAAATAACCATGTGAAAAAAAAATGCTTCAAATGAGCATGCTATTATATCATACCTTTGTCATTAACAGGTGGTTGACTCTTTATTTATTTCAGGTACTTTTATACTGCTGTCAATTTTATGCAGTGCTTTATTATTATTATTATTATACAGGATTTATATAGCGCCAACAGTTTGCTCAGCGCTTTACAATATCCCTGATCCTCGGAGCTTACAATCTAAGAGGGAAGGGCTAGTGGTACAAAAAGTAGTAACTGTGGGGGATGGACTGGTAGCTTTACATATATATTGTACATTCACATCAGTCCCTAACCCTAAAGGGGTGTACAACTTACAGTACACATACTAGGGCCAATTTAGACAGGTGCCAATTAACCTATCAGCATGGCTTTGGAGTGTGGGAGGAAATTGGAGTACCTGGAGGAAACCCATGCAGGCACAGGGAGAACATGCAAACTCCAGGTAGGTGGTGCTGTGGTTGGGATTTTAACCAACAACCCTAGTTCTGTAAGGTGGAAGTGCTAACCATTTAGCCACTGTGCCACCCACATTTTAGGTTTTAACCCAAGTACAATAAGAAAATATAGATTGCATGGTGGTGGTTCTGAAGGGGGCATAAGAAACACAGGTCAGCATGTCTAAGGCGTAGAAACCTTGCAGGAGGATTCATTCAAAAATTAAGCAGATCAGTTTCTATATTTTTAGGACTTGGGTTTTTTTCTTTTGAAGGGTATATAAAACATTTTTTTTTTTCATTTTAGATCAAATGTTGCAGGGTTAGAGCCCATGTCTGGTTTTTATTGCAGTTTTTTGTCCCAACTGGGGAGACTAACTTTCTCTATTTCGTTTATTACAGGGACTAAAAGTGTGAGGCGCTAACATTTGGAGTTGTCACCAGAATGGGAAATCTTTTAATAGGACACCTGTTCTAAGATCGGCCATACATAAATTGAAATTTGGCCTGTTCAACAGGGACCAGCTGCATTTTGATCCTCGTATGGGCACCCTTGTACACACATCAATCTATTGGCTGACTTGTGTACAACCAGACTGTTAAGTCTTTCCTGAACAATTAGTGCTGCCGGCTATAGCTGGCAACACCAATCATTGAGGTTGATTTACTAAAGGCAAATAGACTGGGCACTTTGCAAGGTGCAGTTGCTCCAGAGCTTCATAAATGAGCAGAAGCTCCATCATTCAATCATGTGCAAAAAATGCTGTTTTTTTTTTATTTTCCTTGAATGTGATTGGGTATTCTTTACAAGGTAAAGCTTTACCTCATTTACTAAGCTCTGGAGCAACTGCACTGCAAAGTGCCCAGTCTATTTGCCTTTAGTAAATCAACCCCATTGTATTGTGCTGGTAGGGAAGGCTTCCTGCCAACAGAACACAATAGTGCTGCAGGAAAGACTGACTGTGTTGATGGGGGACTCAAGCAATTTTCTTGTCTTCCACCTGCGGTGGAAGGCAAGAAAATTGCATAATCTATGGCCTGTCTAAGGCTGGCCATACACTATACAATTTTCTTTAGAAAATTGCTTTAGATTTACCAAAAACCATATAATATGAGGTCAAACCTAAACAACACTTTCAATTGTATCCAATCAGGCGGGCTCTTGCACTACATAGTTGAAGGTAAATCTAAAGAAAATTGGGCAGAAATTGGACAGAAAATTGTATAGTGTATGGCCAGCCTTAGGCTAGGTGCATACTAAATATGCGGATACGGGGTCGTGTGTAATTTGCACAAATTCCCACAACTGCACAGAAACCATGTGGGGGTGCCACCAACTCTTAAAGGCTGAAAAATGCGGTGCAGTTTCCCGCTTACAGAAATTGCATGGGGCATAGGACCGTGCGATTTCCAAGAGTTTACATTTTAAAAAAGGTGCAGATATCTTTTCCCTGCAGGAAACATAGGCACAGCAACCTATTCAAATGAATGAATGAAAAAAAAAACAGATTTTATGGCTGGATCACCAGATGAAAATAGAAGAAAGAAAGCCTAAAACAGGAAATGAATGCAGCCATTGCGTCTAGGAATCGGTAAGCTGCACTATAATAAATGCTTGTTTTGGGTTTTATTACTGCTTTAACATTATCAAGAGGGAAACAAATGACCAACTAGCTCAATGTTTTCAAGCTTACCTGAAGCCTCTGGACAAGGTGGTGGGAAGTAAGGTCCTGACCGGCCTCCACCAGGAGGTCCGATAACTTGTGGATGATTAGGTCAAAGGGCCCTTGACTATTCAGGCACTTGGTGAGGTCAACCTAGAAAAAAGACAGACAAAAGTTACAGTGATACTAAACTCAGGACCCTGCATTCACTATATCAGGTCTTCCACAGTACACAGAACATAGAAATGTAATTATTTTAGTAAATATAAACTGCTAAATACTTTTTCTCATCAGCAGTATATAGCAGTCTTGTGACTTCTATCAGTGTCTGGCTGAGCACTGGTTAAAGCTTGTATTAGGAGTTTTCATTCTTCTCTGACTGTCCTATGAGGCTGCATAATCTTTGACCTTCTGTCTGGACAGTGCTGATTGACCCTGTGCTGATCACATGCACCCCCCCCCAAAAAAAAAATTTCTAGCAATACATACCAAACAGAGAATGTGCAGAGTGACCCCTAGATAGCTGTACTACCAAAAGATGGATTGGGGAAAGTAGAAGAAGGGGAGTATCAGATTAGACAGGATCAAACAACCTTTTTACAGAATGCGGAGGATTAACCCTTAGGTTCCACAGTGAGTACAACAAGCATGCTTTATTACATATACAGACTGATTTTACTGTTGTGGGTTTAGTAACACTTTAAGGAACTTGTAGAAACAAATAATGACATTTCACTTTGTTTAAAATACAAGTTCAGAAGAAGGAAGCCAGAAGAAATGATCATATGTCTGTGGGGCATCACAAGTATTTGCAGATAATCCCCAGCCAATGTCTCACAGAAAGGATCCATCTTTGCCATGTGTGTCTCCAAAGGGCTGACTACAACAAAATGGCGCCTGTCCACACACAGACACTGGCTAAGGGCCAAACAGTAGAAACAAACAAACCCAACTGGCATGTTCATGAATGTTTGTGCCATGAACATTCTAGAAAACAATTGTATGGAGGTTGTATCATGTCTATAGTTTTTTTTTTTAAATACCGTATACAAATTACATTTAGATTAATTTAGAATTTCCATTAAGTACTACAATGAAAATCTGCGACTGTTCTTATTTATCCAGGGCATTGCCCATCTAGCAGTTGTAGATCTTGGTGTATCTGGCAGTAGATTATGGTGTATCCAGTAGTAGGTAGTCATATTCAACTGGATGTGATCTGTAGTACTGAAGACATTTTGTAACGCATTCAAACCACTTCTGGATTTCCATTGTGCCTGAAGGATGAACCCAAAAAAATCTAACAGATTCCTCCATTAATGCTATACAGCAGGGGTCTCCATACTTTCCAAGCAAAGGGCCAGTTTACTCTCCTTCAGGCTTTATGGGGTCTGGACTGTGGCCAGTGGGAGTAGATAATGCCCTGGTATTAGTTCCCCATCATTGATTTTTATGGGAGGAATAGTGCTCCATTGTTGGTATCAGTGAGATGAAAGGTGCCCCACTGATGGTGTTAGTAGGGGGAATGGTGGCCCATCATTGGAGTCAGTTGGTGGAATAGTGCCCCATCATTGGTGTCAGTTGGTGAAGTAGTGCCCCAACAGCCAGATAAGGACAAGCAAAGGGCCACATCCAGTCCCCGGGCCGCAGTTTAGGAGACTGCTGATGGGGCCACCCACAAAGCGAATTTTGGCTGGTTCATCAGGATGTGGTAAAATTTGAGCAGTGTATGACCAGGAATGGAGGTGTTTAGAACCCCTGTTAGATTTTCATTGCTGTCTAGGTACCTGCTCGGGAGGTTCACCTGCTTTATTTGCCCTGGTGAGCATTACTACTGGGACAAAAAAAAATTCAGAAAAATTGAAATTTTTGCAGTTGTACCTGAATAAAAAGTGAGGGGGAAACTTGTCCCAGTGAAAGCTGTCTAAGGCAGGCCATAGATTATGCAATTTTATTTCCTACCACCACGGGTGGAAGGAAAGAAAATTGCTTGATTCCCCCATTAACCAAGACAGTATTGATGGGGGAATCCCTCCCGCAGAGCTATTGTGTTCTGCTGGTGGGGAGTCTTCCTTGCTAGCAGTACACAATGATTAGTGTTGCCGGCTACAGCTGGCGGCACTAAATGTTCAGAAAAAAAACAACAGGCTGGTTGTGCACAAATCAATCGATAGATCTACTTGTGTACAACCAGGGTACCCATACATGGATCGAAATTCAGCTGGTTCCTGCTGGAGAGGATGAATTTCGATCCATGCATGACCGGCTTAAGCAGAGATTTCTACTCATTTTGGAAACAGAAAAGCAGAGAGAAATATTCCCAAAGGGACACAGTAAGAAAAAAAACATCAGGGATTCTAACCCTTCTCTACTCAATTAAAAACTAAAATGAAAAGTTTTAAATATACTAAATACAAGCACCAATCTGCAGATGCACATACAGGCGTACCTCGGTTTACAAATTGAAATTTGTTCTGCAGGACTTTTTGTATTGTGAAGAATGCGTAAACCGAAACGTGGTTTCCCATAGGAATGCATTGAAAACCAATTAATGCGTTCTGGAGGTCAGAAAAGAGTAAAAAAAAAGTCTTTTACTTGTTCAAAACTCTTTATAAAGTGCATTTTAAAGGCATAAATACTGTACAGGGACATGATTAAAAATGTATTTTGAAATGCACTGAAAACCAATTACTCTGTTCCGGAGGTCAGAAAAAAGTAAAAAAAAAAGTATTTTCTGTTCAAAACTCTTTATAAAGTGCACTTTAAAGGCATAAATACTGTACAGGGACATGATTAAAAAAAAAATTCTTAAATGCATTCAAAACCAATTAATCCGTTCCGGAGGTCAGAAAAAAGTTAAAAAAAAGTCTTATCTGTTCAAAACTCTTTATAAAGTGCACTTTAAAGGCATAGTACTGTACAGGGACATGATTAAAAAAAAAAATTGTAAATGCATTGAAAACCAATTAATCCGTTCGTATTGCGAAAAAAAATTGTAAACCGATTTTCAATCGTAAACCGAAAATTACGCTAACCAAGGCGTTCGTAAACCACGGTACTCCTGTACAATCATTTGAGGTTAGCAGACAAAGTGAATGATTGATAACCTGCAATAATCAGTGGACATATTAAAGTGTATGTAAACCCAACAATGAGCTTCTCTTGTTTTCTCAGCTAAGTATAAGTAAATGCAGAAGTGCAGAAAATACCTGTTGATTTTGCCAGAAATCGTGCGATCTGATAACTTCTGGCGCTGCGTGCGCATAAGGAGGGGTTATGGCAATGAAGAGAGGGAGGGGGTTGAGGAGATTTCTGTATTTTTTTTGCAATACATCAGAAATAAAGTAGGCAGGGCTGACACCACATGCGTAGGAATTTAGAGCTGTGTTGCAGGAAGGTAGGAGCACACAGTTTCTGGCACATCAACAGGTAGTTTCCTGTACTTGCAATATTTGTAACCAGGGGCGGACTGACTATTTGGAAACTCGGGCACTGCCCGAGGGCCCAGGGTCAGTAGGGGGCCCCATGAGATGCCCCTGGTACCTTTTTTCATAGGCTTTTTTGAGTTTGGGCAAGGACACAGGGGCCCCATGATCCCCTATTGCTCTGGGGGCCCCATGAGTTGTCAGTCCGCCCCTGTTTGTAACCACCTCAATATCGGACACTTTCACCCCCTTCCATTCCAGGCCAATTTTTAGCTTTCAGCACTCCCACTCTTTTAAAGACAATGACTCAGTCATGCAACACTGTACCCATATAAAAAATATATAACAGTTTTTGGAACGGATCAAGCTTTTTTTTATGGTATTTAATCATTTTTTGCTAAATAAATAAAAAAGACCACAAATTAGGAAAAAAAAACATGTTTTTCTTCATTTCTGTTATAAAATTGTGCAAAAAAAAAAATGTTTCTTCATAAATTTAGGCCAAAATGTACACTGCAACATTTCTTTGATAAAAATAACTCAAAACAATGTATATTATTTAGTCTGTGTGAACGTTTTCGAGTCTACAAACTATGGGATATATATTTGAAAACCGATCAGTCCTGATGTACTGACGGCCTATCTCATTTCTTGAGGTCCTAAAATGCTAGGACAATACAAATACGCCCCAAATGACACCTTTTTTGAAACATAAACAGTCCAAAGTACTTAGTAAGTATGGCATGTTTTTGAAGTTATAATTCTTTGTCACAATTTTCTGGAAAATGAAGGAATTAAAAACATTTGTTTTTTTCACAAATGTTTTTTTTTACATACTGTCACCAGTGCATTACAGCGTCACCTTATAACTGGTGTGGCGGTGATCAGGGACACTGACTGGTAACAGCATGTAGAAAAAAAAAAAAAATAATTTTTTAATTCTTTAAAACTTTTCTTTTTTTAATTACAATTTTTTCTTCTTTATGATCTTTTTTACATACTGTGATCAGAGCAGTGCACTGTTACCATAGTAACACTGTACTATTCTGGGGAGTTGATCAGAATTTTTTTTTTTACACACTACAATTGCTTCTGATGGTGACGATTACTGTTATAAGCATTTTTTTATGAATGGCATTCATTTATTTAGTGGGTTGTATTGTGAAGCTGTGAATGGCCACAGCTATCACATGGACTGTGATTGGCCCTGTCTGTACCATGTGATCACTGTGACCAATCACAGCGATAAACACAATAGTAAGAAAGCCATTCATTGTGTACAACTGTCATGTGATCTGCTGTTATTGGTCACAGCGATCACATGGTACCGACAGCAGTCCAGTACAATGATTTTTCATCTGCTGTGTCTTTCATGGTGAGGCGCGATCCTGGGAGGACGTCATATGATGACCACCCAGGATGGCAGCACTCCCGCTCGGCCATCCTTCTATTACAGGCCAGGTAAGAAGCAGTTAAAAGAAACAAAACATGGGGAAACGTGCCTGTATTCCAGAGATGGACTAAATAGGTTTTTTTTTGGGGGGGGGTCTTGACATAGGTACCAATAAAAGCATTTTGTCCTACCTGTTTAATTTTTTTTCCCAGCAGGAGCAAATTGGATCATGCTTTGCTGAGTTTTTTTTTTTCACTCCTCTGGATCAATTGTGGGTATAGGATTATAACTTTTTATTTTTTTTAATGGTTCCTAGATTGTAAGCTCCAAGGAGC